CCCTGCCTTACCCTTGCCCCACTCTTGCCCTACTCATGCCCTATCCTTGCCCCACCCTTGCCTGTATAAAACTAAAAATATATTTTTAAAAAACAAAAAAATTCAAAAAGTTTTAATTAAAATAATGTTAGCATTAGACATGCACATAATGTTGAAACACAATGAAGCTGAAGCACTTGTTTTCACGTACTTTAAGTGTTCACAATATAAAAAAATGATGTGGAACTTGTAGTAGATAAGCTTTTGCAACAACCATTTTTTAAAAACTTTGCTAAAAACTGGCGGTAATGTAAATTACAGATGACTTTTGTTATAGTCAACCATAGCATTATGACAAGATTCTTTTTCATGTAAAATACCATTGCCTTTTGTTATAGCCAATTTTACCACATACAAAACAGTCTTTTGTAATGTAAAATACGATTTAAAAAAGTAGCATCTTAATTTTTTATAAAAATAGAGTGACATTACGTAGGGAACCCAATGCAAATTTAATAGACAACATTAGAAAAACATTTATTGGTGTTCTAAATTTAAAATTAAACTGTTTTTTCAAAAAAATTTAACCTTACAGTAAAATCTTTTTTTTAAAAAAATTAAAATTTTTCTCCCCCCCCCCATGTTTTTGTTCTAAAATTGCCAGCTCGACCTCGCTTTAGCGACTAGACATGGGAAACAGGCCGGGCCAGGCCCAATTTTCAGACCCGGCCCGACCGAAATTTTGGTCAGGCTCAACCCAGGCCAAAATTTTTTTACGTGAAAACGGGCCGGGCCCGGCTTATTTTTCAGGCCCGGCCCTGGCGAATTTTGGTCAGGTCTGACCCGACCCGTTTCTCCTGTCTATTAGCAACCATGGTCAGCGAATGAAAAACTCATTCCTATATATCTACCCCACCCTATACTATGCTACCCTACCCTTAGCTTTAAACAAAAATAATTTTACCCTGCCTTATTTTACTATATTCTACTTTATGTTACCTTATTTTGTGCTGCGGTAACTTTATTATTATCTTCACCCCAATATCAAAGTAAAACAAATCTGATATTAAAGTTGAGTAAAAATCTTTCAGTATAATATAAAAAACGTTGGTAAACCCAGTAAGGTAACACAAAGTTTTTATTTTATTTGCCAATGACAAAAAATCTCAATTTGAAATAAAAAAAATTTTTTTAAATTTTAAAAAAGTTCTCAAAAAACAAAAATTCAAGTCAAAAGCCAACCTCTTTTACCCATGCCAACCCCCACTTTTCCAACCCTTCCCTACGTATACCGTAACCTAAGACGGGCTGACATCAAGTTGACGAAACCCGATGTTCCAAAGTCCACAAACAAAATAATTTGAGCCAAAACATTTCCATCAAGAAATAATCTTTGTGTCCCGAGGAGAAAAGCCCCGCGGGCTTCCGGCAGATGAACACCGAAGTCGACAAGTCCGCCGGTTAGGGTTACACCAAACTCTCGGCCCTTTTTGCTCCACTGGTTCGAGAGCCCAATCTTTCCGAGTTTCAAAGCCCTGCAGACATATGCAAATTAAACCGTTTTTTGCGATTCGCCGGAAGTGGATCCGGAATTGGATTAAGAGTACAGGCTTATAAACGGATAATTGATTCAATTATTCTAATAGGTCGATCGATAAAGAACGGTTGGTTTTAAAGGTCCAAAAAATGTCTTTGCGTAACGTTGGTGTTCTGAGTAGAGCTGAAGGATCTCCTCCGCCTCTAGAACTGCAAAGTAGGCCGACTAGGCCAAGCCAAAGAAACTTTGAAAGGGGCCGAGCTAAAGCTGCACATGTATGTAAGAGAGCCGGATTCCAAACCGAGGCCCGACCCGGCCTATTTACAAATTTAGTTTTGTGTCAAAGATTTGGCAATTTCAACATTCCTTTTTTTTGCAGAAAATCAGAGCAAATCGATGCCAAATTGGCAAATTCTTTGTTAAATCGAATTTGACCACACCTGCTTACGTTATCTAGAAATAACTTTTTTTCGAAATTTCTTGATTTTCGGCTCTTTTTGCGATAGAACACCAACAGATTTCAGTTCGTATTTTACAAACTTTTTATAAAAATTTTAAAAATTTCAAAATTCTATTACAAAATCGCTCAAACTGGAAGTAGAAAAACACCTTATAAATGTAATAAACAGCTCTAGACTACAGTAATTACTCTGATAAGAAATATTGTTGATCACTATTCGTAACATGACTAATCATCATTTTACAACACCAAGGACCATATCAATACCTCTAGGCAATCCTTGGCTTGATTTTTGACAGCATTATAGTTATGATTTAACCCCAAAGACAAAGTTTAACAATAGTTTTTATGAACAAATGACATTGAAATAGACAGAGTAAACTGAAATTGAGTTGAAAGTTTAAAAAAGACAATCAATCATAATTTACAACATGTTTTCAGATAATAAACGTCTGAGTTATTACTATAGGAAATTGGTTATGACTTTGTATATATAATTAGAAATTGTACTATTTTTAGAAGGACAGGAAGACCTTACCCAAGATTTTTTTTGTTAAGAGCTTCCCTCTCTTCAACACCCGCATTGTACAAAAAACATTTTTACCCCTCCCTTGTTTTAGAGATTACACATAAAGAAAAGTCACTTTTTTTCCACTCTCCCTCCCCCCCCAATTTTGTAGAGCTACTGTAACCTTTGCCGGGAGCGGGACTTTTCTATAAATTAAAAAAATACCAACCCACGCCCATAACCTTAAAATCTTAAAAACCATGCCAATTCTTACTACAAAACCAATTTTCCGCCGAGTTAAGCCTGAAAAACCAAGTCAAACTCGACATTCTCGTACTTAAGTTTTGGAAACTTCCCAGCACGTGCAAGTACGTGAAACAACTTTAAAACAAAACGCCGGAAGCGGCGGCCAAAAAACGCGGGATTTTCGAAAAAATTCGATTTTAAAAACGTACTTTCACCTGAATATAAACATAAGCAACATAAACATGGCAAAGTAAATACTTTGCTCAGTTTTGGAAGACTGCAGCTGGAGTACGAATAGAACAATTTTACTCTGTGGACTAAAACCATAGGCTTGGTAGGTAAATTTTGTTTGGGAAAACCAGTTATAATTTTTTTATTCAGGCCTGTAAGTCTCTTTCAAAATTTTTAAAAATTCTGGAATTAGTGAGAAAAGATAAAAAATTACTAGAAAAAGTGAAAAATTGTAGAGATATTGGTATACAAGCAATCGTTTTAGTATGATAGACAAGGAATCGGACCAATGTGCCATTATAATCAGGGTATAACACTATTCACGCAAGTTTTTATAGGAGTTCTGTTACAAAAGACGGCCAGAAAGCTGACATTATAAAGAGATTGTCATACAATCGAGGGCAATAATAAAGAGGTTTTACTGTATAGAATAGGCAAAAATCGGCCAAATATATAAAAAAAAAAAACATTTAAAAAATATTAAAAAGACAAAAAATAGTCACAAAGTTATAAAAAAATGTTAAAAACGGTCAAAAAGTGATAAGAAAGATTTACAAACACAGTCGACTATAACTATTATAAACAAAAGTCAAAAACGGGCTAATATTAACCAGAAACGTTTAAAAAACAACCAAAAAATTAAAAACACAATAACTAAACATGCCATTTTGTATTGTTCATGTTATAAAACATACATAACAAGCAATTTTAAATTCAAAATGCAAAATCAGACAAAAGACTACACTTTAGAACGGCGAAACCTTTAGAATATTTATTTGAAAAGCTCAAAAAATTAAAATTTCTATGGAAATTTGACTTTTTTCTGGCATTTCGGGTCGTACCACTTTTATTTGTTTGTGTTTTTATTATGTTCTGACAAAAAGCAGAACAAAGCATTATAGTACTCAAGGTAAAGCTGCAATATCGTTATGTTTTGACAAATAAACGTCATAGTACTGAAGGTGCCGGCACTGTTACTTTTAATCGTTATGTTTTTACATAAAACGTCTTAGTACTGACGGTACTGTTATAGTATTGCTATGTTTTGGCAAAAAAAGCAGAACAAGAAGCTTAGAGCACTGAAGGTACCGTCATAGTATTGGTACGCTTTAACAAAATAACGTCATAGTACTGAAGATAATATTACAGTACTGTTGTATTCTGACAAACGACAGAACAAAAAGTTATAGTACTACGGTTACTGTCAAGGTACCTTTGTCTTTCTTATCCAACTCAAAATACAATCAGAAAAGCAAATTTGAAACAAGTAGTAAACATCATTTGAATCTGGATAAAAATTGAATTTCCCGACGTAAAGAGGCTACTTTGAGGGTATAGTAATGGTCAGTTTTGAAGTCTTGTCAGGAAGAGAGTTCTCAAAAAGGCCCTTTTTAGACTCTACGTAACTTTGTTTGAAAGTCATTTTATAACGTCAAAACGTCAGGAAATAAGTAGAAAAGTGCACAATTTTGATATTGTTGGTACTAAAGGTACTGTCATAGTATCATACTAATAGTACCGAAGATTCTGTCTTAGTATTACATAGTAAAGACAAAGTAAATAAATTTAGAATAGCTGGTACTAAAGATACTGCTATATTACCTTGAAAATTTGCTCTGCAGCAAGGCACAGAATTAACTGAACAACATAATAATACTCAAAAACTAAAACTAAGTCAAGTTTATTGTAAACGAACAACTATTTATCGTATGTTTATACCAAATACTAGCTGATTTCTGTATAGAGCAAGTGTTACCGTAATGAAGGACCATTTCGAAGTAATTTGAGCCGTTAGTGTATGATACAACCCGATAGCTAAAGATAACACAATTTGAAGAGATTCAGAGATAAAATTGAGGCTAAGCAAAGAAATATATACAAATAATATGTATAATTCTTGTCACTGGGCAGAAATATTGAAGTAGAGAGACTAACATTATAGTAGAAAGATTAATATAGTAAAATCAGTATAATACTATAAAGGTTAATATAGTAGTAAATACAGTATATTGTCATAAGAAACGTATTGCTATAGACTTTTAACTACTACTGGAGCTACTTTGTACACTTTTAGTCACTTCTTCTGATGGATGATCAGCCAATGCCTTCTTTTCATCTTTGTCAAGTTGCAATGGTACCATACGTTGGTAGAATATGAACCATGAGATAAGTACAGTACCAATTACTGCTATCACAAAGCCCCAAGCGAATTGAGGGCCGTATGTTGAGTAGAGGTTACTGTAAGTACAGTATATGTAAATGTTTATACCCTACCCTACCCTACCCTACCCTAACCTACCCTACCCTACCCTACCCTACCCTACCCTACCCTACCCTACCCTACCCTACCCTACCCTACCCTACCCTACCCTACCCTACCTTACCCTACCCTACCCTACTCTACCCTACCCTACCCTACCCTACCATAACCTACTGAATGCATGTTACCGTAAGCAATAAGGAAACTTATATATATATATCTTATCCTACCTTATATTAACCTTACCTTGCCACCACCGGCCCAAACATCCTAGCCAGTGCTCCAGAAACCTGTAGCCATCCTTGCTGTGTACCCTGCCTTCTAGGTCCAATAATCTTTGAAAACAAGGTATTCAAACATATATTAACATTGGGAAAAGCAGTACCAACAATCAGAATGTAGCTTCCAAAGAAGACAGCTACATTCACTGGCTTCAAGGTGCTACACCAAGTAAACTTGTCACTATTACAGCCGATCTGTTCTGTCTCGGTCAAGTTTTGATGGAAGGTTTGGACTTGGCCAGGTAAGAATGGCCATGATATTGTTAAGAGATGGAAAACGATCAGCCCTATTAGGGAGAGAAAGCAGCCAAGGCGAAAACTCATACTGTAACATAAAAAAATATTAAAACTTTAAAATTTTTAAAAAAATTAAACCAATAAAAACGTTAACTTACAATCGTTCCGGCTTAAACACGATAAATGCCAAATATGTTAGAAACGCCAGAAAACTCATAATTCCTTGAGCTGCAGCTATATATTCAACAGCATCGTGCCGAGACCAAGCAAACATCGCCATTACTAATGGTGATCCTAATCTAAAACTAACCGTATAGCCTTTATAAAACCAATCCCAAAACCCTAGCCTAGAGCCCTAGCCCAGAGCTTTAGCCCAAAGCCCTAGCCCAGATCTATGTTAGGTCTTGCTTAGCCTTGGCTTTATCTTTTACTCTAGTTTAAACCCCAGTCATAATCCTTTCCCTACCTCTATAATCTTAGCCTATGTCCTGGTCCTAACCCCATCCTGGAAATCCAAAACAAAAGAAAAAGATAACTTACGTTTCCATATTAGAATTGACCAAAATCTGAGCGAATCTTGTCATATGACAAACGACGATTGCCTTCTTATCATAAGGTGGTAGTCTAACCTTCTCTCCATCTTCATTCGTGGCTATTCCAGCATAATTCTCGACGAAAAATCTTTTTGTAATTAAAGCACAGAACATGTTCATACAGCAAGCCATGTAGGCTGGAGCTGTATACATGTTCAGTTTGATGAAATTGAAAAAGGTAACGCCAGGATAGTCCAAGGGTATGAACAGAAGTTGGAATGCTGAAAAATTTTAAATTAATATAAATTTTCAAAAAAAAATTTTGTTACCTAAAATTAAAATTTTTATTACATATTGTATACCTATTTCAGTACATTTTGCAAATTTCTATAAAAATTTTTAAAAATTTCAAATTTTAATTAAATTTTGGCATTCTGCAACAAGCATGTTTCTTGACCAAAATAATGTAAAAATCACAAAAAAATCAAAATCAATCGTATTTTAAGTGTATATACTTGCAAATGAATACACATGAATAACACTTTAAATACTTGCTTGGTCCCATAGTCATGCCAAGAGCCACCCCACCAGTAACAAACGCCAATGCTCTCGACCGATCTTGATTAACACTAGCTGTGGTCGTATAAGCCTTTAGTAAACTAATCGAACTGCTTCCAAAACCAGTAATCAATCTTCCCAATAACAGCCAATACCTTCGACCAGTCGAAAAGTTCTCCAAGTTGAAGTAGATGGCATTTCCAATAAACATACACGACAGATTGGCATATAATGGCAGTCGAATTTTACCCAATTTATTGCTGAGAAACCCAACCAAAGGAGATGCTATGATTTGGCCAAAACTGTAGGCTCCTACCACGTAACCGAAGAAGTTTTCGGATATTGTGGGGTCTAACTGAAAGTGGCATATTAGGTTACGGATTATGTAAAATACGCTTCATCATCTCAGGTTCTTTTAAACATACCTTGCTTTGCCCTCTAAGCTTGATATAAGAACAGTATTGATTACTGTTATTTCAAAGCCTCAAGAAAATATAGTAGACGTCACTGTATGTTATTTTAATGTACATAAACATGTCTAATTGTACCTTAACCTTACGTTACCTTACTTAAGCCTTACTATATTTTACCTTAGCTTTAAATTACTCTACTTTAGCCTTACTTTACCTTACTCCACCAAAGTCAAGTCTAGCTTTGCTTGCATTACCCTACCCCAGTCCATCTTTACCTTACTCTATTGTACGCAAGCTTGACTTTGCTTACTTTACTCTATTTTAGCCTTATTTGGCCCTATCCCTGCCTTACTTTACCCCAATCTAACTTTAATTTACCCCGTTTTAGTCTTACTTTACCTACCTTACACAAACCTAGCTTTGCTTACTTTATTCCACTCTAGCTTCAATTTATCAATTACCCTACCCTGCTCTAGCCTTAATTTATTCTACTCTAGTCTTAATTTACCGTATTGTAGCCTTTGCTTATCCTATTCTACAAAGAAGTTTTTTAAAAATAGTTAAAAAACAATGAAACATACAAAACGTTCCAACCCTTAACCAAATCTCCAAAACCAAATTAAACTTTGTCTAAATTTGATTAGAAAAAAGGAAAAACAACCTACCAGTTGAAGGAACGGCCATAAACTACTGAAGTACAAGCTGAATTGAGCTGCGACACAAAAAGCCAACAGACTGGTCACATAAATCGACCGCCAGTCAGTTTGAAGTTGTCTTTGCGCTAAATTCAAGTTGCTGGCCACATTTTCATCTTCTACGTGAGCTCCAGAAGCATCTGGCTTCATTTTGAAGGTTTTTTGAAGATTGTGGCATATAAATGTAAAATACGTCGTCTATAGTTATTGTATGTTATACAGTATGTTATTAAGCTTTAAACAGAGTGCTAAGTTTTTTGTAGTAGTAGTAAACGTGAAAGCTTATAAAAATAATATTATAGTAGCTCAAAGTGCCAAAATCTATTTAAAAAGCCAAGAAAAAAACTTTGTTTTCCTTCTTCAGAGCCAAGTATAATATGCAGATACCAAAGCCAAGATAAATAAAAAGCAGTTGAGCTAAAATACGACAACAAATTTAAAAAACGACTAGTCGAGACGAAAGCACATATCAAAATGGCATCATCTGCGAAGAACAAATTTTAATTCTTTCGCAATATTGCCAGCCGGCTTTTCTTTGCCCGCTCTCCAGCTAAAGAACGCTCTCTTCGCCGTTCTTTGGACACGAAAAGCGGCCAAACTCTGGTTTTAGATTTTTGCGAGCTTAAGTGTTCGGAAATGAGTTCGGAAACTCGAGGCATGACTCTTTGTCAATATATTTGTCTTATTTATTGCTCTTCTAATTTAAACATAACAACAAGGTAATTGACAACAATTTAAAGAAAATTAAAATTTTTTAACTGTTCAAATAAAAATTTAAAAAATTTTGTCTACAGTGCTTAAACGCAAGCGAAGGCACATTAGAGTAGTGTAGAAAGGGATAAAGTGGGGTAAGGTAGATTAAGGTAGGCAGGGTAGAGTAGACATGATTAACAAGCCGGGCTCAATTTTGAAGCCCGGCCTAATCTGAATTTGCTCAAGGCAGGCCCGGCTTGTTCTTCATATCTAGGGCAGGGAATAGTAGGGTAGAAACAGTTTTTTTGTAGTTTACAAAAGCAGCGCTTAATTTTAAAAAATTATCTTTTTTCTGAAACCTACCCGGAAACTACTCAATCGGCCCTACTCAGAAGCAGGTCTGATTTTTCGAACAAAGTATTTCTATTTTCAATAGTACTCATAAAAACGTTTTGGTTACGTTTTTAAGTTTTAACTTATAAATTTTTGTATTTTCCGCCAATTTGGCACACATTTGAAACGCTATGCCGATTTGGCTTGGCGCAAAATTCAAAACCTAATTCTATTGTTTTCGATTCTCTTAAGATTGACTGGAAAGCGATTTAGTATTTTGCTAAAGAACTTATATTTACATGATCTTTCTTTGTTAAAAGTTTGAAGTTAATCAGAGCTGGACAGGTGGTTTCTTTGCGAATATTTTTTGAGTAAAATACGTTGAGACTTAATGTCGTATTGCTGGGGATTAGTAAAATTACACTAAATAAAAAAAATTTAAAAACTTATTTACTATTTACTGTGTCATCATTTTTTTCATAGCTGGGCATGTCATTTTTAAACATACTTTTACCTACCCTTTTCTATACAACCCTTATTACATGTTGATAGTTTTTATTGTTGATTGTAAAGATATTACAATATCCTATTATTATAATAAGCCTTTTACTGTTCAATTTAGTTTTACAATCAGCTGACTCATGTTATTTCGGTTTTGTTTTTAATTTTTTTAAGACAGCTTTATTTATCTTTAAAGTTGAAAACAATGAGCAAAACAAAAAACAACACATTCATCTGATCATCCTTTCAATAATCCATTTCTGTGTTATACTTTTATTAACCATCAAAACATCAAATATACATTAGAACATCAATATACAGAGGTAACACACATAATCACAAAATAAATTTTGGCATATATACCACCTTAGTTTAATAAATCGTATTTTACAACCCAAACAATTATTTTTTTTAAGTTAAAAAAAGCTAAAAAATCAAAAAAAATTTTTAAATTAAGAATTCCTAACATTCCTAATAAGCAGTTTCCTACCCTCCCCACCCATAGCTATTCTATAGTCCGCAAAGTAGTGATACCTGAGGAATAACCGTAATGAAGTACAGATAAGAACGCCAGTAGCAATGATAATGACCAAAGCTAATGTCGTCCAGAATATTGAGATCTTGTCAACATGTGATAGTTGAGCTTTTGAATCGTAAAACTGATTCAGATTCTCGATCGATGACTCTTCTTGAGGTAGATTTTGCTTATTGATAAGGCGAAGATATGACAGCCAGAAATCGACCGCTTTTTGATTGTAAATTTTGCCAATTACTGGCGTTGGAGTGGCTTTTGTGATGTTGTTGAAGGTTAAGTAAAAGTAGTTTTTACCATCTAAATCGGTCGGGATCCAGCCTAAAATATTATATATCTAATTTAAAGTTTTATTGCTAAAAAAGTTTGACAAAAAAGTAGATAAAAACGTTTTTTATTTACCCTACCCTACCTTAATCAACCCATCCCCACCCTACCCATCAGCAAACTAGACTCGATATTAACATAACCTACCATTAGCCGGCTTTTCCCCTCGAATAAACCGTCGAAATATCTCCGGATACAAGCTGTTCATCAACGTTTGATCACTGTTCATCTTCTCTTTTGGGTGTAGTCCAATAAGAAACGTCAGGTCGTTAGCATGATGTGTACTGCCATCTAATGCAAACACTCCTCTATAACTCGTACCACCGGCTCTTGTGTTAAACAATGAGATCTGAGTGTGCATAGCGTGAATAAAGTCTTTTTTGGTATGGTACACGTCTACACTGTATTTTTCAACACATTTATCGTAGGCTTCTCTGGTATGATAGTTGAAAGCATGGCAGTAGGCTTGACATAGACCTTCTATGTCGTCGTCGGCGTCTGAACTCATTTCATCTGTCGTTGTTATTATGAGGAGGGGTTTTGGCTGAAAATTTGAGTTTTTGTAGATAAATATAAGATTGGTAGGGTAAGTTAGAACAAGCGTAAAACAACGGTAATGCAGGAATAAAGCAAGGGTAACGCAAGGGTAAGGCACGGGCAAAGCAAAGGCAGTGCAAGGGTAGAACAAGGGTAGAGCAAGGGCAGAGTTATCTTCCTTTATCTCTTATTCTTTCCCTCTTATTAATCAAAATACCCTGCCCAAATCTTCCCATGATGATACAAAATTACCTGCCAATAAGTCGAAGCCATTTGGAAAAAGTTTTCTTTTGGAATCAGAAAACGGTCGGTTTGAGGTCCAACTTCACCAAAGTCATCTTCAGTGTCCCGGCTAGCCAATAGCAACTCTTCAGCTGAGATTTCTTTCAAACATTGCACTTCTTCTTCAATGCTTTTTGATTTGCACTGTAGGTAGATATAGTAAAGTGTAGGATTTAAAAACTTCACAATATTTTTCTTTTTGAATGTAAAATACGTAATTAAATGTTGCGTCATTAAAATATAAGCTACCATATTAAAATTTATCATGCCCTAACATAATCAATGGTAAAACTGGTTTCAAAATAATCAAAACTAATACCTACCCTAACATAACCACTAATAGTGTCACACATCTGTTGTGTTTGGTGTGGCCGTAGTAGTGGTACACTACTGTCAATGACAGCTTGAGCAAAAGCCCCTGGCTCAACTACTGGACTTGACATAAGATATGCTATGGTAGAAGCACCAGCACTATTACCCACCAATGTTATACGACGCTTATCACCGCCAAAGTTCGAAATTTCTTTTTGAATCCAACGAAGGGAGAGTAAGATATCTAAAGAGGGTAACGTAGGTAGTTAAGCTATAGTAAAAGCTTTTCAATTTAAAATGTATTGTATATGAAAGGACAGTTTTAGCCATTGTATTTTACTCACCATAAAGCCCTACATTATACGGAGTAAGAGGTAGTTCCATCCCAAGATCCAAGAACCCAAAGATACCAAGTCTATATGCTGGTATGACAAATATAATCTCATTTACTGCGAATTTGTTGATAATCTCTGTCTCATTGAACATTATGGCACTGTCGTAGTAAAAACCTCCGCCATGAATGTAGAAAAGTACTGGACAAGCTCTGTTCTGTAAATATATAGGTCTGGGGTCAGGAGGGGGGGAGGTGGCGTTGAACCGTAAACCCCCTCCCCCTTTTTGCTGGCCCTAGCCCTGTCCTTCTTTGTCCTTAGCTTACTTTACCATACTATACCGTATCATATCTTACCCTACCCTACCCTACCTCATTCTACCTTAGCTTAACATAATGGTTTGTACCTTACAGTATCTTACTTTATATTACCGGACATTACCGTACTTTATCTTAGCTTACCGTACCTTACTTTGCCCTACCTTACTATAGCCTACCCTACCGTATACTGTAATTTTAACTTACCATACATCTCTCATCTGCCCAAATATTCAAGTACAAACAATCTTCATCAACATTGCTTTGTGGTGAGGTTGTTCTACTAGAATTACTCATACAAGCCGGACTGTACTCGGTAGCATCCCAAATACCACGCCATCGTTTCTTTGGTAATGGACTTTGGAATCGCAGATCTTTTAATGGTGGTTCAGCAAATGGCACGTTCTGTAGAGTTTCTTATATAAGGTTTTATTTATATGAACTATACTTTGCGAGTTGCCGTATTTTACCAAAAAAACTACTGTAAATAACCTAGTGTACAAGATTTTAGATTGAAGTAAGTTTTACGTAAACCGTGTGCATAAAATGGCATTTGATTACAAAATGAGTCATATTAGCTCAGGTTTCTAAATCATGTCATGAAACTTGACACAATACTCATAATTGGTGCTGTGTTTGGTGAATCTTTGATGTTATTGTAGGTAGAGATCACAAATATATTATGAGAATTATTAATGTAACAAAATTCAAAATTTAAAAAAATTTTTAAATAATTTTGTGTTTTTACGTTTTAATAATCAACTTATATTAACGTTTTTTCCATTTTCTTCTAACCTCTACTCCACCCTTCTTTCACTCACCTTAAAAACATTAATTTTATGCGGCCCAACCCGCTCCACCTTTCCTTCCAGAACTCCAGTTGATACCCGTACTCGATTGCCTTCAACAATACCGACCAAAATGAAAATAAAACAAATCATGAAAGTAAATAAAAAAAATAAACCAAACCAATAACACTCAAATTACTCGCCAAGTTCTTATCAAGCCGATAAGAGGGGTGGGTATTATTGGAAATGTCAAAAACACGCGCTTTTCGAAAATAAAAATATGCGAGATTTATAATGTTTATTCGCAGATATCTCATGTTTCCATGGCCAAAGATTAAGTTGTGGCCGGAATTGCATATGTTTTGGCTTGGCTTTGGAGGTTAGTTGGTGTGGTGTTTGCACGGGGTGGGGGAGGAGGTGTGGTTGAGTTTGGCGGTGTTATTGATGAACTTTTAGGTGTTGTTTTAAGTAGTAAAATTAGAAGTCTTATAATACTTTGGTGTAAAAAATAAGATAAAAAAGTGTGGATATAAATGCAGTACTAAAGTAAAATACGAGAATCTGACAAAAAACTGTGAAAATTTTTATAGTTTTAAAAAATAAATTTGCAAAAATTTTTTTTAATTGATAGTAGCATCCACATATAAAGCCATAAAAGTCACTTAATGATAAAAGAAATAAATGTTTTATACACAGTTTACCTTTTTCATGTTACTCTACTGACCGACAATACCCTTCATACGTTTATTACTCAAATTTTAAAATTTTTGTTTTTTTTTTAATTTTGGAAAGAATTTATCTACTTTTCCATAAACTTTTACATTTTATTTTAAAATTGTAAACAAACTTTGACGTAAATTAGAAATTGTAAATATTACAAGTTAATCACAAATTCACAAGTTTAAATAAACAATTTTCAATTACCTATTGCGTTACAATTTAAATTTATGTACGTTCACCTTGGTTTACATCTTAATATTCAAAATTTGTTTAAATGTGACATTTTGTATATTTTTCTAAAACATATATAGTTTTTATTTGTACTGCCTAGTAGCCCTAATACTGCAAACCACGTGCTATTCGCACCCAAAGCCACTTCTTGTTTTTTAAACTAATTTTATTTTATTTTTGGTAATTTAGTTATATGTAGTTGTACTTTGAAAGCGGTGTATTAGTGTTTTGTGCCAAATAAAGTGTTTCAAACGTTTCTTTGCAACCATTTGGTTGATTAACAAGTGTAATTAAATTAGAAGCCACCTGCTGGTCGACGAGACTTTTTTTAAAACGTATGGTCAGGCTGGTATTGCGTTAGCCGTTCTGTAGCTGTAACTAGCCTTATTATAGCCTTGCCTTAGCTCTATCTTACGCTAGTTTTGCCCTAACCCTTCCATAGCTTTACCTAACCCAATCATAGCCATTTAGCTTTATTTTAGCTCTAATCTAACCTTGCTTTAGTTTTTTCTGACTTTACCTTACAAGGGAATGTTACAAACTGTCCATTCGTTTTTTAAAAAAGAATGGTACTATGTGAAAGAGCGTAAAAAGTTGACTAGAAATCAATTTTCAAAAACTGCCAAATTCGCTTTACAAGCCCGCTAGCGAGATTTTAAAATCATTAGTAAATGGACCTTTTACGTTATTATGCCTTCTTTTCGATTTTTATACTTTCGAAAACTTTAGTTTTTTGATGTTTTATGTTTGAATAGATATAAGGAACAATTATTAACAAAAAAAAATTTTTTTTGTTAATGCAAATTAACTTCAATTTAAATTTAAAAAAATGAAAGTTACTACCTCAAAAAGAGAATCGAACCGGACACGCATGATTACGCAATCACGGCGCCTTTGACCACTTGGCCAATCGAGCACACTTGATTCCACTTTTCGAAAGTATTCAAAAGAAAGCGGACGTAAAAAAACCATTTCAATAAGGAAAATTTAAAAAGCTCGCTAGCGGGCTTGTAAGGCAAATTTGGCAGTTTTTGAAAATTGATTTCTAGTCAACTTTTTACGCTCTTTCACATAGTACCATTCATTTTTAAAAAACGAATGGACAGTTTGTAACATTCCCTTGTTAGCCTTACATTGACTCTAATTTAATCCTAGCTCTGTATTGCCCTATATTACCTTGAAAACTTTACCCTACTTTTGGTAACTCATCATAATCAAATCCTACCTAAAATAAATTTTAAAATTCCTACATATCTCTACTTAGCAATCGTACAAAAAACCAGCATGTTGTGTCGATTGAAATGTCACGCGCCTCCACTAATCCGGTCAAAACCGGCGCGAACAAAGCCTTAATGTACTGTGTCTTTAAGAGATGACGTCGTTTCTCCAAAAACCATGCCGGGCTTCCTTTTCCTCCACCGACCCGCAAATTTTCCCGCAAGCAATTTTGACGTCGACTCATCTTTATCTTTGTCTGTGGCCGGATTTCTGGACCCATCTTGTTTTTTGTTAGATTCGCTTGAAAGGAAATGGGTTAATACTGTGTTGAGTTAGACGGTACTTAGGTTTGGGCGGGTTTGGCGGGGAGAGGAAAGTATGGCTTTTTAGGCTTGAAAATAAGTTTTTTGGGTTTTTTGTCGTAAGTATTAGTTTTTAAAAACTTATATTAAGATTTCGCATTAAAAATTTAAAAAATTTTAAAAAATCGTTTCTTAAAATTGGTATTATCAAAAATACTGGAATTTTGTATATACACTAGGTATATCCCAAAGAACCTATCTGATTTTTTAGTTAATTATATCAATTAAAAGTGGCAGTTTATCGTTTTTTCCGGAAAAAAGCCAAAAGGGGAGGGGGTCCACGTTAAACTTTTTGCAACATTTTTTAATTTAAAAAAATATTTTTTTTGCCAAAATTCTTTTTTTGTCAAACTTATTCTAATCACTCTTTCCTAAAAGTTTACCATTCTTCCCCAAAAGTTATTCCTTATTCCCCTTTTTTTCACTTTTATCACCTCCATTTTTCATTTTTTTCTAATAAAATCACATCATTCCCTCTTCCATCCTCTCGAATTCCGTCCACGCATCCTGTGCTGTGCCCACTTTTGTTTATACCCGCCCCAAAATGAATTATTCGGGTTGTGGGTCCGGGGCGACAGTGAAAACAACTAAATTGCCCTCTCGTTCGTTTCAGTTCATGAAGAAAAGCAAGAGAGAGCAATTTAACGAGCGCCGAGCAAGCGATTGCGTGGCGCGGCCGGTTAACCGTTTGCTTCACGGGAGAAAGGTCGTTGGTTCGGATCCCGGTGAAGACCAACTGCACTCTGACTGTCAGTGATTGTCAAAACTTCCTTATCTACATTACCTGAGGGACTTTTTTGGTTTTTTAATTATTTTTTAAGTTTTGGAATTTAATAAAATTTTAGACGTATAGCAAATTTAGGTTAAAAATATGTTTTAACCTAAATTTTTTGGTACTTTAAAAAATATTTTTTATAATTTTTTTTATATTTTCATTTTTGAATTTCAAAGGCTCATAACTTTTTTGTAGCAAAATTTAAATTTTTAAAGTTTGGCACAACTAAACGCCGTTTTATGACAATTATTTGTGAAAAGTTTTGAATTTTTTAAGTAAAAATTAAAATTTTTTATAATTTTTATCCAATTTAGGTTTAGCTACACTTTTTTTAATCTCAATTTATAAGCAAAATATTTTTCTAACCCCCAAAACTTAAGAATGTTGTCATATTACTTTAACAAAATGAAAAAACCATAAGCTTGGTTTTTTAATCATTTTTGTGGATTAAACTGATGCAATTAGCTTTAAGGGCTTCGTCTTTAATATTGACAATATTTACTCTCTGGTTAAAGAACTATGTTTTTATTTTTGAGCCAAAACTTTTAAAAGGGATTTGGATTTTACTGTGTCTGCCGATATTATGTTATGTTGTTTAGAAGGGAAATGGCAGTAGTTCTTTAAGAAATAAAGGTTTGAGAGTTTGAAGGCTTTGAAATTTGTCCGCAATTGTTTTTAATCTAGGTATGGTTACTTTGAAAGATTTAAAAGTGAGGTAAAAAGTCTTGTCGCTAATTTACGTTAGTTTCAATGGTAAAAAACGACAAAACTTTTTTGGTGTCTAAAACCATTTTTTTTTTCAATTTTCATACAAAACAAAAAATTGAAATTTTTTGAAATTTCAAGCACTTTAAGTTCCCAAACCCTACACTAAATATTTTAGACTCAAATTAATCTGGCTTACGTATTCCAAAACGTGATACGACGCACAATGTAAAAGTTACTTCACACAAGGGATGGCGTTTACATCGGATTTACTATGAAGCCAAATTAGTCACATTTTGGGTCTTACAGCTTTTGAGTTAACGTTTTGAATGCGTTTTGATAACTATAAATTTCGAAAAAATTTATATCATAAATATTATTAGGTTGTTCAAATAATTCTGCGTCCCTTAACTTTCAAAATTTGCTAGGAGAAAGAGCACGGAATTATTTGAACAACCTTATAATTTTAAATTTTGTTTGATTTTTTATGGGTATGTTGCGACACTTTATCACTGTTCTCTACCCTAGCCTTACGCTACCTCTGCCCTGATTTTAGCTCTATCCTGATTATTTTAACAATTTTTAAAAAATTTGCAAAATTTAGGTAATAATGACACATTTTGCTTTTTTTCTAAACTTTGAGGGCCGTTTTTGAAATTTTGAGCATGTTTTGAAAAGTTTTGTCACTTCTTGTGTATGTTTTTGATTAGTGCTATTTTAAGAGTACGTGATGTTAGGTGTATGGCAAAAAAATTATTTTCACTGTGTATTATGAATAAGGTGTAATACTTAGCTTTTGACCACTCTCTCTCTTCTTACCTCTACCCTTACCCTACCTTCTTTTCCGCCACACCCTCCCTCCCCCCCCTTTTTCCAGCTCTGGGTCTATCTTTTTATTGTCTGTACAATCATAAAAGTCTAACAATAATATCACGTTTTGCCGCTTTTCAATTGCCCATTAGTACAAAAACAATGGCTTTTGAGCATATATATTGCCTTTTACACTTTACACTTTCATGCCTTAATATTCGGTCAAATGACATACACTTTGTATGTACAACAACACACTTAATACTTGTATATACAACAACACTCTTAACGCTTGTATATACAACAACATACGTACATACAAACTTACCCCACGCACTATCGTAAACACATGGCCGAACAATAGGCTTTACATTCACTTGCAATCTACAGCTTTTTCCTACAATTTCGCCTCCATTTCTTTTCAGTTTTTACAGCCTTTGAAAGTTAACAAAAAAATTTTTTTTGATTTGTGACGACAAAGCTTGGTCTAGTTTGGGGGTTCAGTTGATGTTGTTTTGAGTAGGAGTTTGAACTGGTGAAGTCATAGTACAGACGAGAGCGAAGTCGTAGTACTATATAATAAATTTTGAAGTTAGAGGATGTGAAAAGATAGTAAGATGGGTTAGTGGATAAAGTGGTATATTTTAGAGTAGGACATAGAAATTAGGAAAGAGGTTTAAATTTTAGCCACCGGGGCATTCAATATAATATTTTTAAAAATTGGGCTGGTACAATATCATCGAGCTGGGGATATTGTTAGGTTGAGAGTTCTGCGCTAAGACTCTGGGCTAGGGATCTGGGCTAGGGCTCTAGGCTAGGGCTCTGGGCTAGGGCTCTGAGCTAAAGCTCTAGGCTAGGAATCCGGGCTAGGGATCTGGGCTAGGGCTTTGGGCTAGGGCTCTGGGCTAGGGATCTGGGCTAGGGTTCTGGGCTAGGGCTCTGGGCTAAAGCTCCGAGTTAGGGCTCTGGGCTAGGGCTAGGGTTCTGGGCTAGAGCTCTGTGCTTTAGACTAAGGCTCTGGGCTAGAACTTTTTCACTTTTGCAAGTAGATACTACAATTAACTTCGACATCTTCTTGTCCTAAATTTAGTCGTACCTACTTTTTTAATCTAATATGCGTACTTGAAAACGAAAGTAAGGCCTATTATTTACTTTGGTTTATTTTGGCGCTATGTTAAGTACTTTGAATACACCCAGTAAATAATTAAAATAATAGAAATTGTACTTTCAAGTACCTTGACAAGTGAGCTTCTTGACTTTTTCATTTTACTGTGAACATACAGACAGTGGTACTTGTGTACTGCTGGTCGGTAGACTAAAATTTGTTTTTTATACAAGATATTTGTTATAGAAGTCTTATACGTTAGTTATACTTTATGTCATTCTTAATTGTAAAATACGCGTAGATGACACAGTTTTATGTGTCAGCTTTATTGTGTAAAAGCGTTATATACTAACTTGATTTTATTTCAGAATGGGTGCAAAACAAAGCTCGCCGGAGCTAAGCCTGGCTGAAAAGAGGTATCGAGTCACTTCGCCCAAAAGGAAATCAAAACGAGGAGATTCAGCTCCTAGAATACGAGCTGCGCCTTCAATACGGTAAGCTGCTGTAGCGAAGTAAAAGTTTACAGTAAAATTCTCAAAACTATCCTGTAAATGTTCTTGCCAGACACAAATTTTTAGCTTAGTCCTCGGATTTAAAAATTAAATCTTTCGTTGCGGGACCTAATTTGGGCCCCTCTTGCCATGGTTTAAAGAATGCTCTCGGGCTTACATGTGCCTTCTCGGACCAAGCTGGAGTAGGCAAGACCGGGCCGTTCTAGGCCGGTCCGTGCTGGGCTAGTTTAAGCTAAGCTAAGCTGAGATAAGCTGGTTTTTCTCAGGTCATTTAGGAAGACCAAGTTAACTTCCGAGTAAAAATGAATTGTGATCTATTTTTTAATTTTTTTAAACGTTTATATTTAAAATTCGATGGACTTTGATCTAAGATCAGTAAACCGCGTAGACGCCAATCTTTGATCAAGCAGTTATATTTTTATATCAATTTGAAAATGAATAGAAAACGTCTCGAAATGTACTCTCGAGACGAATTCCATTGTTTTATGTGCAAATGTTATATCAGTTTGCAATCTTTTTTTATATCTCTTTCGAATATCAAACAAATTGTGTCTCGACGTTTAGCAAAAAAAACTTTGAGGTTTCTAAAAGTGCAAAGAACATAACATCACTTTGAATGTAAATTTAGACCTAAAGGGGTCGTTCGCTTGATAGAATATCTGAAAGGATGTCCACTAAGCCAGGCTAAGCTGGATTGAGGCAAACGTAAAAGGGACCGGCTTGGCAACTTTTGACCTGAAGTCCGGGGCTCAAACACAGGCCCAGTCCATTGAACAAGCTGAAAAATTGAAAATAACACGGCTTCTTTGCGACTTAATGAATTTAGAAAAAATCTAGTCCTTAAAAAATTACAAAGTCGACGAAATGTCACAAATGTTATTGGAAAACGCTAAAATTGCCGATCAATGTCAAAATACAGCTTGAAAAATAAATATTTTAAAATTTTTTAAATAGAAGTTAAAATTTATAGCCTATCAGACAAAGAGTCACAGAAAATATTTTTAAAAAAATTTTAAAGCTCAATTTCAATTCCAGAAGTGAAAGAGCCCCTTCGCCAGACCCGCTAAGTCTACCTCCCAACAGTGTTCATCATTCCAAATCAGCGGTGGATGTGGGGTCAGCAATACGATTAAGTCCAAACCTATCAGAAAACAGTCCAGGCATACCACCGCTAAGCCCATTCTTCGCCGATCAGCAAGAAATCCTGACCAGAGTGCAAAAACATATGATTGAAACTAGTTGGAAGAAGGCTAGGAAGGTAGGATTTTGAAGATTTTATTGTAGTATGGTTAGACCTAAAGGGGCCGGGAAGAGCCCAGTTTCTTTCTGGCCGGTCACTTTCTTTGTAAGTGTAGTAGCAATATGTCATAATTTTGTGTAAATACTTTACGACACGTATTTTACCTTTTTTAACAGTTAAAAGGTATTTTTTCAACTGTTGTTAAACCGTTTTATTTTTCAGACAGGAGCTGACAATGTTGGGTCCAAAATATTCCTGCTGATTTTGACCGCCGAACCCGAAATTCGAATGATTTTTGGATTGGAAAAGGTGCCCCAAGGTCGGCTAAAATACGATCCTCGATTCAGGAAACATGCTTCCGTATTCACAAGAACTTTTGATTATGTCGTTAAGAACTTGGATTACACTGAGAAGTTAGCACAACATTTTCAGGTGAGTTACTGGGATATTACTGGCATATATATGCGGCTTTCCTTATTATATACATATAAAAGACACTAAACCTTTACTATGATATATAGGATATTAAAGCCGCTGTTTAAGCATTAGCAGGGTATGAAATACCTTTTAAACCACACTTTTTTCATTTTTGAAATTTGAAAATTTTCATACATTTGTACATACCTTTATATAAAGTCGTATTTTAGACCCTATAAAATCGAATTTTATATTTTACAAAATCGTATTTCAGACCCTAGGCAAAAAGCACGTTCAGCTACAGAGCCGTGGGTTTCAACCCCAGTATTGGGACGTTTTTGCAGAATGTATGACTCAAACTGCCATCGAATGGGAAGCCGGAAGGAAGTGTCGAGAGACAATGGGGGCATGGCGATTACTTGTAAGTCAACACATTCCAATGTTGATGATTAAAGTGCAGAAATGTATTTTTGGACCACTAATAGTCCTCTAAATTTGAATAATGACCTGTTCTTAGTCTAAAAGAACCTAAATCTACTCAAGTTTTTGCTTAGTCCTATCCAAGCTTAGCCCTATCCTGAAACCTAGACCTAGCACTAGCTAGCTCTACCCGACTATAGTCCTAAGCCGCCCTAGTCTGAGTCCTAGTCTGAGCACTAGCCTCAGCCCTAACCTGAGCCTTATCCTGAACTCAGTCTACAGCTAGCAGTATATCTTAATCAAAATGTAAAACCTCAAAATTCCAGGTCGGCTTCATAATAAAACACATGCGGGTCGGCTTCGATCGTGAGAAGCAGATTCGAAAACGGTTCTCCGCTTCAATAATGGGTATGCCAACAATAATCAGATCTCAGTCCAATACAATGTCACAAAAGCCATTACATCAAACTCATTCCAATGATCTCGACAACCTTAAAGTCATAAATCCACACAATAATGAACGATCTGCTTCTTGGTTTGCTGAAGAACGAGAATTCAGTGAGCAATTTGGAAAACTGAAATTTAAAAGCAATGTAAGTTTATATTACAGTAAAAACAGTTTACATTACAGTAGAGACTGCTATTGTAAACCCAATGAAGAAAAATTAAAAATTTTGTAATATAATATCATGCTACAACATTAAACATCATATTATACCTCACCTAAATTAAAAACCTCGGTTTATCCCTCTAATTTCTCAAAAAGTTACCATGTATAATATAATCACCTATACCTACACTTTTAGTGCCCAGATCGTGACCCATCCCCCTCTTCCGGCGACTTCTTTACCCCGCCATCGACTCGACGAAAAGAAGAACATAATTTACTGCATAAACTATCCAATATATCAACATAATACTATAATTTCCATGATTTACGGGTATTAACTATGGTAATAAATGTACATTATCTATGTTTTGGCTTTTCTTCAAGTTTTACTTTTGAAAAACATACGTCAAAGGATTAAATTAAAGTTATATTGAAGTTTTACAAAAGATTCGAATGAATTTTGTATTTTACAACAGTTTTCCAAAGTTTGAAAGAGCCAAAACCCTCATGAATAACATGTTTTTTCGCCTAAAAACTCCATTTTCACGCAAGATTCAAAGAGAAAAAAAGTCAAAAATGTAGAATTAACAAAATACATTTTAAAAACTTCAATCAGATGTCTAGTATAACATTGTTGACCCACTCCTCGCACAAGGACGCACAAATTCGCATTCCGAACCGCTCGCCCTGCTTTCCGTTCGAGTCAAGCGCTCTCTTTTGGTGTGTGTCCGGGCAACCGAAGCCCGTTCCCCGTTGGCGCAGTCGGTTAGCGCGTGGTACTTATAAACAAATGAGCGATGCCAAGGTCACGAGTTCGAGCCTCGTACGGGGAATCAAACATTTTTTGGCTCGTTTCGCCTTGTTTCTCGTCTTTTAGGTATTGTTTTTGTAAAATATTGTTGAGAAAGTATTTAGAAATGTATGTTTGGTAATTTTTTCGAAAAAGAATGGTTAGAAATGGCAATAAAAAGGCGAAAAAGTGCCGGCGTCCGGAAAATTTAGATTTTTCGGATCTTTCGGCCAGTTTATCGGCTTTTTATAAGAAAAGAAACAATATTAAAAAAGGGAGTTTAATTTTAAACTAAAAGAAAAGGTTATGATCTTAAATTATTTATCAGTTCATACCTAAAAATATAGGTTTTTCACCAAAAACACTTTGATAATCAAAAAAATAGCAAAGTTATACCTAAATAAAGGTCTTTAGTCAAATTATATAGCTTTATCATAGTTTATCAGGATACTACAACCTAAAATATGTTGGAAAAATATTAAAACTTTTATTTTTTCATTAAAAATGGCAGTAAAATTGTCAGAAAATTTGGATTTTTGCTCATTTTTTGATATTACACTAGGTTTTGGCGGTCGAAATGGTGCTAGATCCTAAACAAAGTCGTAATAAGTAAGATATTCTTATATATTAACTTACTTCAGCCTATAGTTTATTTTTCAAGCCATTTTAGGATTGATAATCATGTTCTCCACCTAATTTACCGGGCTTTTGACAGAATTTTCATGGATAATATAGGAATACCTTCCTTTTAAATTCATTTTTCAAAATGTTGAATTGACGAATCTTCAGCAAGCTTTTAAATATGAACTATAAGATCTGTTGCAAGCATTTAAAAATTATTTTTGAGGATTCAGAAGCCATTCTTACCTAGGTTTTGATGCGATTTTCTCAAATGTTGAACAATTTTCGCGATTTTTCGTGGTTTTAGGCCTTTTTAATCCTTATTGTACATTAAGTTTGATTTCAGCAGCCGTATATCCGTGACAAGATCACAGTCGAGGTTCAGTAGAAATAGTAGAATCAGTCTGAGCCAGTCAGTTCATCAGGACCATGAGGCAATTGAGGAGGACATAAAAGCTAAAATACAAGGTGAACAGGTCAGTTTTGGGGTTTTTAATTTAGAAAGTTACTAAAATTTTTAAAATTAACTTAACTATGACACTTTTAAAATACATTGTCCAAGAAGTTTATGTTATCATTACTTTTTACATTTCGTTCAAATTTTTCGACGAAATGCCACAAAAATTATTGGAAACCCATTTTTGTCGACTTTTGACTGCTATTTTCAGTTGAGTTATGTGCCACAAGAGCAAAAGCGATTGACCAAACAGACGGCCAAGAGAAACACGACCAAAGAGATTACTAATGAAGACCTGGAGGCACAAGACTATGAGAAGAAAGCGTTGGCAAATCATTTGCGGTCGATTGCTCCTTTCAATGGTCGTTGGAATGTAAGTTTCTGCTAACTTTGGGTTTTTTTTTTGATTTTGTGGTAGAAGTTTAGATTATGGAGGGATTTTAGATTGTAAAATACGATTGTTCAAAACTATAAGATAAAGTTTAGGTAACAAGACGCTTTATTTATTTTTAGGTAACAAAATGGAATTGATAATGTGTTTTATTTAATTTAGGTAACACAAAGAAACCGATAGTGACATTTGTTAATTTAGGTAACAAAAACGATTAATGAAGGAACCTTCGGCGTGGTATTCGCAGTCCAAGACATTGTAACTGGAGTTGAAGGAGTGATTAAAGTGGCCAAATCATATGGAAATTCCTCGGCCAAATGGGAGGCTTTCATCTTGGAGAAGATGACTAAAAATGTAAGTTCTTCTTGGTTATTGTAGAGATATTGGGCTATTAATAACCTACCTTACCTCCTTACCATAACCACTCTACTTCAGCGTACCTCAGCATACCCTGCCCTATTCTATCCTACTCTACCCTACTCTATACTTTCCGCCTCATACCTTGCCCTACTTACTGCCCTACTTACCCTACCCTTCCTTAATCCTACCGTACTTTCAAAAATTTAAATTTTTAAAAACTTGAAATTTCAGAACGAAACGGCGTCTGTAGTTCGTATCCTGGACAAAGGTATGTTGGCCGATCAAAATGACGCTGGAATGGAGTTCATGGTGCTGGAGAAGATGGCTATACCCATAATGGAGTACATCGACAAATTTGAAGGTTTGTAAAAAGTTTTGTCGTTGATACCTAAGTTTTTTAATGTTTAAAAGCGAGACAACTTTTCTTGGGATTTTAATATGTGTCTTCTTGAAGATATTTCTGTATATTACTATATAAATGACATAAATGATTATATATATATGTAGTACTATACCTGAACTTTAAGGCAAAGAACGCATGTTGCACGTCACCTACATTCTCCTGGACATGCTAAAAGGAATCAACGATATGCACTGTGAAGGCCTGCTTCATCGTGACCTAAAACCTGACAATATGGGCATCATGAGTAAGAAACAACCGTTCGCGATTCTTTTCGACCTTGGGATGGTGAGAATGTTCACCGGAAATCAGGGTGAGAATCGAATTCCGCGAAGCTCGGCCTCCTTCAGAGGTACCCCCGAGTGGGCGAGTGGTCATGCCTGTAAGAATAGAGAACAGAGCTGGCTAGATGATCTAATAGGATGGATGTACGTGGCTGTGGAGCTGTACGATGACACCAAGAACCCACAACAACCGCTGCCTTGGACTTCGAGGAACACTACGAGGGTAGGGAGGGGGAGGGAGTTATTGATAGTTGAGTATAGCACAAAGGGGGTAAGGGTAAAGTAAGTGTTTATACATCAATATTAACCATGTACAATATTTTTTATTTACCATACCTACGATGTCCTCTTTCAGGGTATACGCTTCCTAAAAACCGCGTTCTGTCCAGCCAGACTTCTCTTCAAACGCTGTCCTCACGAGTTCTTTGCCATCAATGCCTATCTAATGACGGCCTATCCCTTCTCTCCTCCTGACTATCCATATTTGGTGGCCAAGTTGAATGAAATTATTGAAAGATTACAAAATGAACTAGGCGGTCCAGAAAAGTACAATCGATACACAAGAGTTGGGAATCCGGAAAAAGAGAAGGAGAAAAAGAGAGACGACGGAGAGACACAGACAAAAGATGATCGGACTAAGGAGGAGAAGACCAAGGAGGAAAAGACAAAGGAAGAGAAGACTAAGGAGGAGAAGAGCACGGATGACAAACCAAAGAAAAAACGGAGTAAAAAGAACCGGAGTAAAGAGAAACAGGTAACGGAAGGACGGAAAAGTCAGGAAAAGACAAAGGCCGAACAGACAAGACAAGAGAAGGCTAAAGGAAGCAAACCAAAGGAAGAACAGACAAGTCAAGGAAATAGCAAAGAGGAAAAGACCAAGCAGGAAAGGACTAAAGAAGACAAACCAAAAGAAGCACGGACAAGCCAGGAAAAGACCAAGCAGGAACGGACAAGACAGGAAAAGACAAAAGCAGAACGGACAAGACAAGAAAAGACCAAGAAAGAAAAGAACACAGAAGATAAACCAAAGGAAGAACGGACTAGAAAAGATCGGACTAGAGAGGAACAGGTAACAGATAACCGTACCAAAGAGGAAAGGACCAAGGCAGAACGGACAAGCCAGGAAAAGACAAAACAGGAAAGGACAAGACAAGAAAAGACCAAGAAAGACAAGAACAAAGAAGACAAACCAAAGGAAGAACGGACTAAAAAGGACCGGACGGAGCAGGTAACGGATAACTGGACCAAAGAAGAAAAACCAAAGGAAGAAAGGAAAAGTCAGAAAAAGACAAAGACAGAACGGACAAGACAAGAAAAGACTAAAAAGGAAAGGACCAACGAAGACAAACAAGAACCAACACAAAGGTACAGAACTAAAGAGGAAAAGACAAATGCAGAACGAACAAGACAAGAAAAGCCTAAAGAAGACAAACAAGACCGGACAAGAAAGGACATGCCCAAAGAAGAACAGCCAAGACAAAGTAAGACAAAAACAGCACGAACTAAAGAGGAACGGACAAGAAAGGAACCACCCACGGAAGCAGCACAGACCGCACGACAACCCACCAGAATGTTCACTTCGTCTAAGACCCGAACTGCCAGGAAGAAGTAGTTCAATATAGTGTTTGATATGGTATTTTTTAATGAATTTTGGTCTAAATACACTCTCTACAAGAAGGTATTCAGTATTGACAAAAAAAATTTTAATGATCTACCCTTTCACTTGCGCCACCCTAGCTATACTTTGGTTTTGGCAAAGCTTTAATGTGATATGCTCTATGTTAATTTTCTTTTAATTTTAATGTGTCTTCCTTTCTCTCAGTCCTATACTAAATTTACTATATCATACCCAAAGCTAGTAGTAAAGCCTATTATTTATGTAAAGCCTATTGATGTAACTTAAATTATCATATCTTTACTCTACTATTACTAGACCATACCCTAACCTTTAGTTATTGGAATACGTGACCCCGACACCATTAAGAATCTCCTGAGGGAAGGTTACATTGAGTTGAAGTGCGCACTTATCAATTCGATGGATGCCGATCGAGTCGTTGTAGTTGGATCCGAGGACCCAAGTGTTTGCCGGCATTCGTATTCAAAGTTAAGGTGGGGAGAGGTTGGGATTTGGGGGAGGGGGGGGGTTGAATTTTAAGAAATTAGACTGGGGTTTTCAGGCCCAGTTCCAGACTGAGGTCGGCCAAGATCGAGTTGGTTTTGAGGAAGGAATTAAATGCCAGACTAAGCCAGACTATAGGCCGGTTTAGCCTAGCTTTGGCCGCGAACCTAGGGTTCAGGCCGAGGCCCTATACGTCAATGTTTTGACCGTAGGGAAACGTAAGCGGACGGAATCAGGCTCCGCTCCTAACGTAGCTAAGGCCGGGTCCAATTCACAACTAGAGTATCAGGTTACAGAGCGGATGATCCATCCTGGTTATTCGTGCGCTCGCCTTACCTTATTCAAACCATTTCTCTTTACCGTAATGGCTTTATCAAAGAGCAAAAACAGAACTTTTTAACGTTCCCAGAAGACCGTCCCAAATCGGTTAAGTCTTTCGCTATCACCGTGGCAAAGTTTGAGAAACCGTATTTTAGCGGTGATGGATATCTGTGCGGTTACGATGAGCGTCTTATTAACGTAACTTGTACTTAATCAGCATCAGTTTTGTATCATGACCCCGTAATTAAAAAAGGAGACGTCATTCGAGTCGAACGGTACGAAGCTTTTCAGAAAGTTCGTAGAGCAGGTACAGTACAGTTAAGTGCCACTTTGCTAAATCGTCTTGTGGCCCCGTTCGAAAACTTTGTACTTATACGCTCGAATCACGTCTTCTTTCGTAATTGTCTTTTCGTAGCCACCAAGGCAAACGTAAAACACCGATTATTGATTGGCTCGTTCAAAAGAACGGCCACCGGGCTGTAGGAACAATTCTCCCCATCCTAACGAACGAACACATCGTAAACTTTTGGCGTAACCCGGATTGTATTAAAACAAAGCAAAATGGCTTGGCAACACACTTTCAATTCGTAGTGTACTCTTTTTCAAGAAATGCTTAGGCAGCATTGTCAGTGTAGACAGTTAACTTATTCTCACCGTACAAACAGAATATGGTACATTTCTGGCGCACGTAAGTCCAAGATGGCTCGTTACATACATCAACCAATTATTGTAAACCTGGTACAAATCCTGGATTTCAAATCAACCGTAGAACATTCGGTAATCCACTTACGACACGTATTCTCTAACAACAACCTGTTTATAACAAACATGCACTACTCCGTAGTGGAGTACACTAACCGTTTACAGCAGTAAACCTCTGTAAAAGGGAGATAGAAGAACTAACGCTAGCCACGGCACTCACATCACGACGTTGCTATCACAATATTTCAAAATTTTTTTAACTTTATTAATCAATTTGGTATTTTATATACTGTATTATTTACTGTACCTTTTTATCGTATTAACTGCATTCCTATAGTTATATAGGTATTTCACTATTATTATATAATTTTCTAGAATATTTACCGTTTCTCGTTATTGTACTTTAACTACAGTTAAAATCCGTAAATATTATTTTTAAAGTCTCAGCTACTTGTACTAAATTTTAGTTAAAACGTCTTGATGTGATATTTCAATCTCGGTTTTCATTGTTAATCAATATTGCTCGATGTACATACATATAGAATAGAGATCGTAGTTCCCACGGGCTTCAGAGCTGGCGCCGGAGCTAACATTTAAAAAAAGGCGGAGCCGGAGCTAAAGCCAAAGCTGGAAAGTTGAAATTTGGGAACTCTGGTAGAGACTTTCCTCAATTAAGATGTATGAGGAGTTAAGCGACACGTAGATCGTCTTGTAGCCCTAATCGAAATAAAGAAAAAACGTGAGAATTTTCTGAGACATGGTTGCGGCCTACTTTGTACCTTTATATGTGAGCCTGTTATTTCCCTATCTTGGGGTATACACCTTTGTGTACGTAAGAAACAATAAACTTGATAATAAAAAGACTTGTGTTTAAGGCGTAGAACCGCTCGACAATGTTCACGAATGTCTTAATGGTGCTAACGTATTTAAACAGCCTGTAAACCTCGTGATCACGCCGGATAAGCACGACAGACTTGTTCAGGAAATCGATCCTGAAGACGTGATAAGCGTAATCCTTGTAAGCATGTTAACGACGAGTATAAGCACGTTTTGACCGTAAACTTTAAATTTACTTATACAACCCATCACCCCCCTTAATAAGAAAACAAAAACTTCAAATACCTTCGCTACTGACGAGCTGTTGGCTTCAGCACACGAATATAGCCACTATAGTCATTTGAGACTTCGTCTATATGACAGGCACAGGTGGTGCCATATTTTGTTTTACATTTTTATTATTATATGTTTTAATTTTTGATTTTTTTTAGATTTTGTAAGATTTTTTTCAGAAAATCATGCTCCACCAATACTTTAACATCTTTATATAGTGTCAACAGAATATGTTTTTGTTCCAATCAAAACTCGACAATCAGAAAATTTGTTTAATACGCGTAATTAACTAATCTACATTCTTCTTAAAATACGTATAAAACATAGCTAGTTTTGAGTTGTGTATCTTATAGTAACTTCAAAATAATTCACCTTGACCACAGTGCCCTAAGATCTAGTTTCCAGCTCTACAGTACGCCAAAGTAACCAGCCCTACAGTACGCTTCAATACCCAGCCCTACGGGCCCTACCCATCTTCCAGTAATCTAATCACTTCATCTCACATTAATGTTAATTGTGTACGTAAAAATAATATAGGCTTTATATTTTTGGGTCTTCAGACAAGATTACAAATTTAAATACGTAGGATTTGAAGGTTTTTTACTAGTATATATCATGCAACACGAGTGGCAGCTTGGACCAAACATACAATAATATTTTTTAAATATGAAAAACGATACTTTATCTTCGGATACCCATCGCAGTCTTATTAAGTAAACAGAAAACTTCAAATACCTCCGCTTTTGATGAGCTGTCGGCTTTAGAACACCAATATAACCACAATGGTCATTTGAGACTTCGTCTATATAGTAAAGGGACGCTAAAGGACACGCCCACTTGGGTGTATCCGCTAGTGGCCTGATCTGAATATATTAGAATTGACGTAAAAACGGTAAGACGCGGTGTCTCTCTCTCCTTGTACCTCGATATGTATTTCTGGTATTCCTTCTCGGAAGATACACCTATTGGTGTAAGTAGATGTCAATAAACTTGATTATAAAGAAAGAATTTGGCCATCTTTTTACTATATGGCAGGCACAGCTGGTGCCATATTTTTATTATTTTTTAAAAATTTTTCGTAAATTTTTTTTGATTTTGTAAGTTTTTTTCAGTATGATTCACCCATATTTTTTATCAATAATTGGTGCCAACGCAACAACTGCAAGTTGTACGTGTCCAAAAAATTTAGAAACTACCAAAGTTCGAATACGGAAGGTTGCGTATGAGGTATGCGGGGATTTTTACATACACGTAAGCATGTGTATATGTTTCTGGAAACACTAACTTGTGACGACGTATGTATTTTTGGTGCATGATCAACGTAAAAGCCTGCCGATAATAGACAATGGGGATCTTTTATTTGTTTGTAAGTTTTTTAAACATTTATGCTTTTTGTAACTAATATATATATTCTTCTTTAAAGGTTAGCTAGTTTTTGAGTTGCGTATATTGTAATTATTTATAAATATTTCAGTTTAAACAAGTCCATTTCCACGTAGATCCACTACACTGCACCCCAAAGCCTAAGCCAAGAGCCTTTCGTTGCGGGAGAAATCAGAGTATGGGTGTTAAACTGTATAGGACATTTGTATGTTACAATTGTTATCGATAATCATTGTTGCATCATATTCAACCATTATAATAAGGCTATAGCCTTCTGGAGTTACTGCAGAATTATACAGTAGTTTTAAACTAACAGGACTATTACGTATAAGGTCCACACTAATTTCATCATTCAAAGCCGTTGTTAAGTTAAAAACAAAAACTGTAAACCCTTGTGATGCCGAAATGTTAATTTTAGGCATACTAAACACATCGAGTGCTGAAGTAACATTCATCGCTTTAATATTTTATGTACGTCATGTTCACTATATATAATATAATATATAATATAATATAATATAATATAATATAATATAATATAATATAATATAATATAATATAATATAATATAATATAATATAATATAATATAATATAATATAATATAATATAATATAATATAATATAATATAATATAATATAATATAATATAATATAATATAATATAATATAATATAATATAATATAATATAATATAATATTTTCTTTTATACTAATAGGGCCTAAGGCATCGATCTTTCTTCGTATCTTTACATTTTCGCACGTTGTTCTTGTTTGTCTCCTATTTCCGTTAACATACGGCTTCTACAGTTTCGTTACTGTGATGGTAAAAGATGTCTTAGGACAAAATCTTTTGAGAAGGTAAAAAAGTTTCTTTTTGGTCACAAGTCATTGACATTACGCAAAAGGGTTAGGCGTAAAAAAGATAGTTTGAATAAGGTAATGAGAGCGTACGAATACCCAGGATGGATCAAGAGCGATGTAACTTGTTACTCTTTTCTAAGCCCCGTCTATCCTTTACTGTAGAAATTCATAAAGTAACTAATACGTATTGTTTACATAATTTGATTGTGAAGTGCGGCTAAAATATTGTAATACAATACTCTACAAAAAAGTCCCAACGGGCCCAAACGTCTTTTTTGCATTATAATACGCACAATCTGTGTAATAATATCACACTACTACTACTACTACTACTACTACTACTCTACCTGAAATGATTAGACAAATTGCCTCCTCTCAAACGATAACAACATTGTTTTCGCGTCGTTTTGTCACATTAAACAACATAAAAAAACTTTAAAATTAGGGAATTTCGGAGTTTTTATGACATTATTTATGTTGTTACAATTTCATGTCACCCACTCATGTTCGACGTGGAAATAACCGGTAAGAATACTGGTTATGTTGCAAATATTATCAGAATAAACCATGATTTATGGCCTTTTATGGACAAAACAAGATTTTAGGAAAAGTGAAAATTGAATAAATAAAAGTGTATTTTTAAAATTGCATAAATGAAAAAAATCAAAAATTTTAAATTTTGGATGATATTACAATAGTAGATACAGTCAACTAATTATAACATTTAAAAAATCAGAAAAATACTAATAGCATGATAAAGTTGGACTCTGAGTAAGGATGAGGTTAGGACTAGGATAATATTAACGTTTTAGTCAGATAGACTAATTAAAAGCTAAACAAAGGTATTCTAGCTCGTTACTACTGCTATAGAGCAAGAAAGAGCTAGGGTAGGTTAATACTAGAATAATGTTGTGGTAGAGCTACGAAAATAGCTGAAATAAAGCTAGAGTAAGACTAGGAGAAATAGTATTATGAAAACGCTCGGTAGTACCTAATGGGTACGGCCGTATATAGAACACATTTTTGGCTAGCCTATGGTGCTGTACTCTTGGTACTAATTAGCATTACTAAATAACATACTTTTTATTAACCCAAATCCAAATTTTATAAGAAAATATGGCTAACAAAAGGCTCTATAACTTTTTTAAACAAAAATAATATAAAAATTTTTTAAATTATTTTCAAAATTATTTTTCACAAAAAGTTACAGTACTACTTTGCACAAACACGAAGTACACTATTAGCTATCTTATTGAAAAGTTTAGTACAATTTTCTAACGTACAAAAACTTTTACACACAATTTTCTATCAAAGTTGCACTAAAAAGCATACCTCAAGGTCGACTTACCTCTTTTCAATTTTTTCAAATTCTAACTGAAAACTTACATAACTCTAAAGAACAAAAACTTTAAAAACTTTAAAAACCCCTTCCTTGTCGTAATTTACACTTTACAACAGTAAATTAAACTAAAACTTGGTGACCAACTTCCTACGCGCACTTTTTATCGCTTCAGAGGAACGTCACGAATTACAGCAAAAAATTGCAATTTCACGGAAAATACGACAAAAACTTGTTCGAAATTAGTCGAAACAGGGAACCGGAGAGCTTGGGCCGGTCGTATATAAAGTCAGGCAGATGAGAGGATAGGCCAGGCAACTGGGCTTGGCTCAGTCTTGGGGTAGTTGGGCTTGCAAGCTCAGTCTTAGTCTGCTAGGCTTGCAAAGGAGAAAAATTGAAAAAGTTTGGGTGTAGGCTTGGTTTCGTCTTGTATAATTTAAATTGTAAGAATGCTAGGATCTTTATATGTAAAATGAGTATTTAAAGATACAGTAGTAACGTTTTCTGACACACTAGATCCTTTTTCAATTAGATATAGCCTTTAGAAAATAAAAAAATGGGCAAAAAAAGCCGAAAAAACCGTTTTTTCTCAGAAAATCTGGTTTTTATGTCTCTTCTTTTTTTTTATTGTTACCTAAAATTTTGATATGTTCTAGCATAGTACTCTTACAAAGCATTTTATAGCATTTTCATACCTATTCATCTCCAAAAATAAGCTTAAAATTAAGTTTGTCCTTATTAAAAACCTCCAGCAATCTTTTTTTTTTCAATTTTGTGCCATTTCTTTTTGTACAACTACAATATCCGAGTATACTGTAACTTTCCCAACTCACAAATACCATCTTTACATCATTCTAAATCCAGATCAGCCATGTCCAAGGAAGATTTGTCCCAAATGGAGTCACTCCGCCGCTTCGCCTTCATCGGTGTCACCCTCTCGACCATTGCCGCGTTGGTCGGTGTCGTAGTTGTACCAATGGTCTACAACAACATGCAACACCTCCAATCCCAACTGCAACATGAAGTTGATTTCTGCAAACTTCGCAGTGGCAACATTGTCAACGAGATTAACAAGGCCAAGATCTTGTCTCAGGTCTACCCACGTGTGGCTCGTCAGGCTGGCTACGGTAGCTCGGACCTTGGCGGAGTCGGCGGGGGAATCGGCGGAGGAAACGGAGGTGGATTTGGAAACGGCGGAGGAGTCGGTGGAGGAAACGGCGGAGGATGTTGTGGATGTGGAGTATCACCAGCCGGACCACCAGGCCCACCAGGACCAGACGGAGACGACGGTCAAGATGGTCAACAAGGTCAGCCAGGTAACGATGGACAACCAGGTGCTCCACCACAACAGCCATCCGTATCAGTGCAACCATGCTTCGACTGTCCGCCAGGCCCAGCTGGCGCACCAGGAAACCCAGGACCAAAAGGACCAAACGGAAACGCTGGTGCTCCAGGCCAAGACGCTCAAGGTGATGGTACCGGAGCTCCAGGACCAGCTGGCCCAGCCGGACCACCAGGTCAACCCGGTCAAGACGGACAACCAGGCCCAGACGGACAGCCAGGACAAGTCAACGAGATTCCAGGTGCTCCAGGACCAGCTGGACCACCAGGCCCACCAGGACAATCCGGACCATCAGGAGATGCTGGAGCTGACGGCCAACCAGGTCAAGACGGAGAACAAGGACCACAAGGTGATGGTGGTTCAGATGGTGCTCCAGGACAACCAGGCCAGTCCGGATCTCAAGGCGAACTGGGTGAAGAAGGACCACACGGATCATGCGACCACTGCCCTACTCCAAGAACTGCTCCAGGCTATTAAGGGGACTAGCTGGCCTAGTCTTTGTGTTAGACTGGAAAGTTTCTGGACTAGTCTGAAAGCTAGGAACATGATTTTCTGGACTAGTACTGATCTTAACATCAAAATTGGTTTAATGGCTATTTCTTCGAAACTGCCCTTGGCTAGCCATGCTTTGCGGCTGTTTTAACTTGTATTTAACCTGTAATTTGTGCTACCAGTAAATAAATATTTATTTTCATTGAATTGGCCTTGAGTTTTTGAAATTTAGAGAAATAGGTTAACAAAAAGAAGAAAAAAATATAAAATTTCGCAAAAAAATGTTGAAGTTTAAAGGACACGTTCACAAAATAGTTTTCAAGGGTCAAATTAGATAGAAAAACCTTTTTTTTTTGATCACATTGACGTTTTGCTTCACTTTCAGCAAGTTTTTTTTCTGCGAAGAATGTTTTTCAGAAAATTTTTTTTTCATGGATAACATTAGCCACTCTCGTTGTTATTCGCTGTTTCTTGCTAGAAATATACTTTATTTTTGGCTAAAACATTGTTGTTTAATTCGTATCTTTCAGGTTTTATCAAGTTTTACAATAATCTCTTCAAATTGTCCTCTTCTCCATAGCATTTGGCGATCTTCCACTGGAGTCAAGCTGAAATAAGGTCAAGAATGGATTGGTAAGCTGTTTTTAATGCTTTATTTTTGTTGGTTTAGGTAAAATACGCTATATTTTTATAAAAAGATAATTTTTCATCAACTTTTGAGTAATATTTGCTTGATTTAACATCTTGACATTGTTTTACGTTAATTTTTAGGTAATACTTGGGAGTTTGGCCATGGTTTGGAGCAAAAAGGTTAAAGAATTGATATGTAAGGTTTTAGTATATTATTTTTTGTATTTTAGGTATGGTTCTTTTTAAAACAGAACCTAAATACAGTTGTTATGCTTGGATATTGCTTTAGATGACCTTTGTTTGGTGAAATTCCTTCTGTTGATATTCTTTTAGCTAAATTGAAGTTATTTGAACCCCAAGCTAATTTCTACTTGAACTTTTAGGTATAAAACTACATTTTTCTCCCAAAAGTTTGAATTTCAATCAAATTTTAAAGAATTTTCATTATTTTTGATATGTCTGACATGGTAGAGTCGGTTTTCCTGCGAGAGGTTTGTAGTGAGGATGTAAACAGGAAGAAAGATGTTATTTACTTTCTTTATTGTGTGGTTGGCACTTTGATCATATGTATTTGCATCATCGGAGCTACAGTCTCAGCGGTCGGCTATCGGATTTATGTGAGTTTAAAAATTCGCGAAATTTGAAGTTTAAAACTATTTTATTACAACGTTCGGGCTATTTTAAGGCTTTAAAATTATTTTTTTAAAAAGCTACTATAATATAAGTAAAATATTGCTATTTCGCACAAAAATCCAACAAAATATGACCGTTCCAGCGTGACTTGGACAAGATAAGTGTGATGAGAGCGTTGATATCGAATCTGGAGCCCGATGATGAGCCATCAGCTAATGCCAAGACGCCGTTAGTCCAAGAAACGGTGAGGTTGGAGCCGGAAACAGCAGCATCGACGAGCAGAATCAGCGACCTCCCGGAGAGCTCGAACAATAACAATGATGAGGATTATGCCGAAGACTTGAGAGTCTACGAGAGGTACAAGTTGAGGGTCAAGAACTTTGAGAGCAAGAGGAAAGCACCGGTGACAAACAACAGGCCTAGTAAGTTTGGATTACTTTGTTTTAGGTAGGGCGTGGAGTTTTGGAGGAGAAGTGGAAAAGCTCTAACTTACCTTATATTACCATGCTATTTAATCCTAACTCAATTTCAGACAAAGAAGGAAAGACAGCGAAGGAAGGGCAAAAGTTCGAAGAAGCCAAGACTCAGATGAACCCAGTAAGCACTGCGCAACTTGTCACCGCCGTCGATAACGAGACCAAACGAGGCATGAAAGACAGTCACACGGCACCCAGAACCAACAAGAATGGCAAACCGTCACGACCAATAATCAAGAAGTCGGTGATCCCGGTCAAAGAGACACAGTCCATTCACGAAGAGCCAGCGAGCGAACAACATACTCAACAAATGTCAGAAGTTCAGGAGCCGAGAGCGATCAAAACAGCGCCTAGAAGCAAATACTGAAGAATATTGTATTTTTACTGATAATATCTTATTGATATCGTACTTTTTCTGATAAAAGTAAAGATATTGATTTGAAATTTGGTGGTTTTTTTTTAAATTTTATGGATCTTATGATGTTTCTGCCATCTAAAGGTACTTTAATTATAAGTGGAAGGTTATTCAAATGATTCTATCAGCAGGATCCAAAGGCTCACGTATTTGTTTTTTTTTTCAAAAATTTGTTGCGAATTTGCAAAAAAAAATAAAAAGTGTGAAATCTAGTTGAAATCTGATAGTGTACTAATTGCGTTTCTCTCAAATCATAATTGATGGCTCGAACAACCTAAATCTATATCTTTGTTTGTTTTTGCTTTTCGAATTTCCAAAAAAAATAATTTTTAAAATAAGCCAAAATCATGTATAACATGAATGCTCAAGTTTATTCAGTCAATCCTTAAGCTTGACGAACACGTTGACGACGAGCAGCACGACGACGGTAGCCTTGGGCTTGTGGAGCGTTGCTGACTGGGCTAGCCGAGTAGTCGGTAGCTGGAGCGGCGTTGGAGGCAGCCGTCTGTGTGGCACGTGGTGGGCATGGGCAGTAAGCGGCGTCCTTGCCTGGGATTCCGGCGCCTCCTGGAGCTCCAGGTTGACCGTCACCTCCGGGTTGTCCTGGTTGACCTGGTGGGCCGGCTGGACCTGGTGGACCGGCTGGGCCTGGTGGTGGGGCTTGTCCGTCGTTTCCTGGCTGTCCTGGAGCACCGGCTGGACCAGCTGGTCCTGGTGGGCCTGGCACAGGGGTAGAGCGTTGACCGTCTTGTCCTGGGTTTCCTGGTGGTCCAGCTGTGCCTGGTTGTCCGTCAGATCCAGCGTCTCCTGGTGGTCCTTGTGGTCCAGCTTGGGCTGGGAGACCTGGAGTACCGGCTGGTCCCAAGTCTCCTGGAGCTCCTGGTTGACCGGCTGGTCCGTCTGGTCCTGGTGGGCCAGGTGGTCCGGCTGGGCACTTGACGCACTCTTTGCCAGCTCCATAAGCATCGTCGACTGGGACGTCTCCGGGTGGACCGTTGTTGCCTGGCTGCCCATCGTTTCCGTTGTCTCCTGGAAGACCTGGCTCTCCGGGTGGTCCAGGTGGGCCTGGGGGACAGTTTTGTGGTTGACGGCCACAGGCACAAGCGGCCTGTCTCTTGTTGCGGCCGATGAGAGCGCCAAAGGTTGGGGTGGCACGCTTGGCACGTTCGCGGGTTTCGTGGATCATGACGCCCCAGGCGTCGTTGGAGTGCATCTTGAACTCGTGCATGTCATCCATGATCTCTTCATAGAGGTCGTTGATGTCGTTGAAGATGTAGACGGAGGAGATCAAGGTGACGGCCACCATGACCACCGAGATGCCACAGATTGAGGATATTAGTGCCTTGCCCATCTTCTAAAACGTTTTTTAAGATTTGTAGAACGAGTTGCTAAACACAAAAACTAATTAAAAAACCATTTTTAAGGCTTACCTTTCGAGCCGAAGTCGATGAGGACAACTGACAATCTTCACCGTCATCTCATGACCTTTTATACCCCCAAGTTTTGTTTCTGTGACCTAAACGCGCGAATATTTTTACAATCTTAACCTTAAACAGAAGCCCGAAACCTGAATTATCAATTTTACGTTTACGAAAACGAGAAGATCGTTAAACTCGCAGACGCACTTTTACGAACAAAACAAAAAAAGACAAAGTAACGTCGGTCTTGGGCTTCTTCATGGTTAAGATTGAGCTTTGTTTCATCAAAAATGGCAATTTTAACCTAATTTTATACCTAAAATGGCATTTTTTCAAATTTTGTAAAGTTTAGAGCTCCTTTTTCTCCCGTCTCTCCATTTTCAACGCTATTTTTCCATCGCAAAACAAAATTGGAAACAAAAAGTCGTTGGAATGATAAGAGCGCGAGAAAAGTTTGGTCAAGAACGTCAAAAATTAGTGTAAACTCCGTAAATAAGCCGGCAAACCTGATGGAACAATACCGGTAGATGACAGTTTAACACGTTTTTCTGTTTCTTAAAGTCAAAAAACGAAAAAGGTTTGAGGGTGTCAAACTGGAGTATAGTTATGAGTATATAAAGGTAATGAGGTCGGGAGGAAGATCGTCAGTTGTCCTCATCTACTTCGGCTGAAAGGTAAACTTTAAAATTATTTATAATTTAGTTTTTGTGATTTTAAAGTTTAAATAAATTAAGATATTTTTTTTAAGTTTTAAATAAAAAAAATTTTTTGTGGCAAATTATCATAGCGACTTGTTCTAAAAAATCGTATTTTACAAAAAAAATTTAGAAGATGGGCAAGGCACTAATCTCCTCAATCTGTGGCATCTCGGTGGTCATGGTGGCCGTCACCTTGATCTCCTCCGTCTACATCTTCAACGACATCAACGACCTCTATGAAGAGATCATGGATGACATGCACGAGTTCAAGATGCACTCCAACGACGCCTGGGGCGTCATGATCCACGAAACCCGCGAACGTGCCAAGCGTGCCACCCCAACCTTTGGCGCTCTCATCGGCCGCAACAAGAGACAGGCCGCTTGTGCCTGTGGCCGTCAACCACAAAACTGTCCCCCAGGCCCACCTGGACCACCCGGAGAGCCAGGTCTTCCAGGAGACAACGGAAACGATGGGCAGCCAGGCAACAACGGTCCACCCGGAGACGTCCCAGTCGACGATGCTTATGGAGCTGGCAAAGAGTGCGTCAAGTGCCCAGCCGGACCACCTGGCCCACCAGGACCAGACGGACCAGCCGGTCAACCAGGAGCTCCAGGAGACTTGGGACCAGCCGGTACTCCAGGTCTCCCCAGCCCAAGCTGGACCACAAGGACCACCAGGAGACGCTGGATCTGACGGACAACCAGGCACAGCTGGACCACCAGGAAACCCAGGACAAGACGGTCAACGCTCTACCCCTGTGCCAGGCCCACCAGGACCAGCTGGTCCAGCCGGTGCTCCAGGACAGCCAGGAAACGACGGACAAGCCCCACCACCAGGCCCAGCCGGTCCACCAGGTCCAGCCGGCCCACCAGGTCGACCAGGACAACCCGGAGGTGACGGTCAACCTGGAGCTCCAGGAGGCGCCGGAATCCCAGGCAAGGACGCCGCTTACTGCCCATGCCCACCACGTGCCACACAGACGGCTGCCTCCAACGCCGCTCCAGCTACCGACTACTCGGCTAGCCCAGTCAGCAACGCTCCACAAGCCCAAGGCTACCGTCGTCGTGCTGCTCGTCGTCAACGTGTTCGTCAAGCTTAAGGATTGACTGAATAAACTTGAGCATTCATGTTATACATGATTTTGGCTTATTTTAAAAATTATTTTTTTTGGAAATTCGAAAAGCAAAAACAAACAAAGATATAGATTTAGGTTGTTCGAGCCATCAATTATGATTTGAGAGAAACGCAATTAGTACACTATCAGATTTCAACTAGATTTCACACTTTTTATTTTTTTTTGCAAATTCGCAACAAATTTTTGAAAAAAAAAACAAATACGTGAGCCTTTGGATCCTGCCGATAACGAATGTTTGAAAACTTATGATTTCAAAGCAGGGTTTTTCATAAAAATTCAAAAAAAATTTTATTTGGACCTTGACTTCCTGAGAACAAAATAGTACCACAGCCAATATTATGATAGATATTTTTCATTTTTTCACCTTCCTATTTAACCGACCAACTCACGGTCGTATTCGTAAGTTTGTTCGAGTATTTTTGAACAAAAAACAACTTTGCGCATAGATAAACAATAAAAAGTAATGGGCGAAGATACGCAACAGCGATTATAGATATTTTGGAGGGATTACCGCGCCCTTCTTTCCCCCTCACTTTCCGGCGCTCAAGAAAAACATCCGGTCAAACACTTGTCCCGATTAGCATCTACACAAGCTGGTTTTTGTGTCTATGTTAAGAAAAAGGAATTTGGGATGTGCAATTTGCAATTTTAGAGGGGTTTTTTGCGAAAATATTGGTTTTGCAAGGGTTTTTGAACATTTTCGAAAGTTTTTCGAGATTTTTTGGGCGGGAAAACAATAAAAAACAAAAATTTTTTAATTTAAAGTAGTTTTTTATTGTTTTAAGCTAAAAAAAAATAAAAGTATTAAATTAAAAGGGTTTAGAAAAGCAATTAAAGCATTCGCACCGACCGGGACTCGAACCCACGACCTTTCGCCTACAAGGCCAACTCCTTACCGACTAGGCCATGAAAACACATTTTTCCTATGTTAATATAAACTTAAAAAATAGGTAAAACCAAGTAATAAAGACAATTTATAACAACAAAAAACTCAAAAATCCAAATTTCAACACTCCAAATGCGTAAAACATCTAAACTTTACTAATTAAATAAATTTATGGCATCTTAAAATAAGTTCTCGACCATAAACACCCGAGAATAATGGGGAACATTGGCCTCACGGCCAAGTCTTTGGTTAAATAGTTAAAATAAATAAACGTTCTAATAGCCGGGCGCGGTCCGTGGTGGTGGGCAGTGGTCACACGAGCCTGGAGCACCTTGTTGTCCCTGAGCTCCACCGTCTCCGGCCGAACCTGGCTTACCGGCCGAACCGGGCTGTCCTGCATCTCCGGCTGGTCCGGTCTGTCCGGCTTGGCCGTCGTTTCCTGGTCGACCGCCTTCACCGGGCTGGCCGGGTTGTCCTGGTGGGCCGGGTGGTCCAGCTGGGCCTGGACGGCCGGGTACGTCACGCACGGTACCTGGGGTTCCACGTTGTCCGGGCTGGCCTGGGTAGCCAGCTTGACCTGGTTGTCCTGGAGGTCCGGGTGGACCGGGTGGGCCACGTACTCCACCGTCAGCTGGCTTGCCTGGTTGACCGGCGTTTCCTGGTCGACCCTTTGGACCGGGGTTACCGGCTGGACCGGGCGAGGCTGGAGCACAGGTTTGGCATGGGTTGGCGATAGGTTGAGCTTGACGTGGTGGAGCACCTGGTTGACCGTCTTGTCCTGGGTTGCCGGACTGGCCATCTTCACCATCTTGTCCGTCTGGTCCTGGTGGTCCGGGTGGGCCTGGTGGTGATACACCACATCCACAACATCCAGTTGGTTGGGCAGCGGGAATGGAGGCTTGGGGTTGGTAGTTGGAGACGGCGGCCGGTTCTCCGTACGAGTAGCCGGCTTGACGAGCGCGACGTGGGTTGACGTTGGAAAGGACCTACAACAACATAAAATTTATAAGACAAAATTAAAAAACCAAGATATTTTAATTTCAAATTAATTTTATAAAATTGAAGTTTAAGTTTATAGCCAAAATATGATTTATTAACATATTTTTAAAAAATTTTCATAAAATTGGTCCCACCACGAAAACCCTGAATTTCAATGATTTTAAGGTAAAAAAGAATAAAAAGGGAAAAAATGGATATTTGTTGTCATAATAATAACTTTAGGCAATATCAAAATTAATTTTTGACCAAAAATATTAAAAAATGGGTCCCATCACGAAAACTTTTATCTTCCTTTTAATCGCTAAAACATGAAATATTTAACAAATATGTACATAGCTTATTACAAAAACAACTTTTTATGTTGTGAAACCACCTGTTTTAAAAAATTTTGTTAAAAAGGGTCTCATCACGAAAACCCTGATTTTTAATTTAACTTTTTAAAGTGGCAAAAATTGCACAAAAATTTTTTTAAAAATAATTAAAACACGTATTTAAAAATTTGTACTTTATCATCAATAATTGTTCCAAAAATGTTATCCTACCTGAGCTCTGGTCACCTCTCTCCAGATGTTGCCGGAGCGGCTTTTACAAAAGTCGACTTCGCTCTGCATGACAGACTGGACGTGCTGCATGTAGTTGTAGACCATGGGCACAGAGATGACGCAGACGAAGGTGGCAATGGTGGACAAGGCGACGCCGAAGAAGGCGACTTGCCTGAGGCTATCGGCCTCGTGCTGCCGCTGCTTTTCCGACTCCATTGCTTGTAGACGGAACTCGAGATGGCTAGCCCCTTAAATAGACAACTTTGCTTTTTCACGTAGCGGAATCGCTTATTCCAGAGGGCGGTCACTCGGTTCGGCAACGGATTCGGAGAGAGATAACGGCGTAGGGGGAGGTTGGTTGAAGGTAGAGAGGGAGGGTGGGGTAAAGGTTTAGTGAGGGGAAAGTGAAAGGGTTGGGGGTAGTGGCAGAGTAGGAAAAAGGAGTTTTGGGATATAGATGGATGAGGGTAGGCTAAAGTAGAGTAAGACATAGGGCAAGGGAGACAACGATAATTAGCAAGAGAGTAAGCAAAAATAGAGGGATCAGAAAATTAGAGTAAGTAAGGAGTGTAAAAATGTAAAAAATGTTAGGATTTTAAAGAAAAAGGTTCAAAAAACCCCTTTTTTTAAAATCAAGGAAGTTGGGTAAACAAAGAAAAATCAAAAATTCATTGAAGAATTTTTTAGTTTTAATACGGTAGTTGCATAAAAAAGTTTTATTTAAGCGCATTTCTTATGTTAAAGTACGTACTTACTGTAATGTACCAGAGAAAAGCCTTAAAAAATTTGATTTTTTAAAAGAAGGCAGGGCAGAGCAGGGCAAGGCAGGTCAGACAGATTTCATAATCTACATAGAATCCTCTTCCAAAAAGAATCTAAGAACCACCACGGTACTTTCCTCTGTGTCATATGATTCAAATTATAAGACCCAGAAGCAAAACACAGAATTTTTGATTAAAACTGATTAAAACGTTAAGTTTATCATAATATTTTTTCTTTTATTTTTTCTGGAAATCTTACAGTATGTTTAAAAAATAAGATTTCACTTTTCAATGTTTGCAAATCAGGGCTGGGCGAAACAAAAAAATTTTGTTTCGCGAAACACGAAACGAAAGTGGCTCTTTCGCGCGAAACGAAACACGAAACGAAATTTTCGCCCAGCCCTGTTGCAAATGCTTGACCACTGTGAATTTTTAAATACATATCTTGTTTAGTTTTGATAAGTTACAGTTTCTGCTTTTGGATGTTAAATTTTAATGCAAGGAAAGGCAAAGAAAGACCGGGTCAATTTTTTATAATTTGAAGGTGTTAATAAATTACAGTAAGATCACACAGTTTCTTCTACGTCATCATTTTTTTGCATTTGCGTAATTATTACAATAAGTGACAAACTATCTGTCTTGCAGCTCTACTGCACTCCTCCTCCCCCCCTCCCGTTTTTTCTCACATTATTGTCCCCCTCTTCCCCCCCCTCCCTGCCAGTCTCCAAAACTCCCCAGTTCCAAATTTACCGCCCTCCCCCCCCGTTGCAAATAGACCCTACAAAAACACAATTCAACCCCCATAGACGACTCGACAATTAAACTTTGACCAGAGTCCAAAAAAGTAAAAGTAGTGTCCACGCCCAGCTAACGCCATCTTACAACCGCAGTCAAGGTCGCACCAGTCCGGCGCCATAGCCTCGAATTGCAAAAGTTTCAAATTTGTTTACAAATCAATAAAAGCCGACTGGTTTCTACCGTGACTTCTTCTGACTGGACAAACAAATACAATATATTAATAATATGAAGGTAAAAAGAGAATGGTAGAATGGTATTGGAAAATGGGTTTTATAATATCAGCTTGCGGGTTTGAACTAACGTTTCATTTGATGTAGGTATTGGTAGCGGTAAACAAAAATGTTTTTAAAGAAGGGCAATGCTGGACAGGCCAGAGCAGGACAGCGCAATGAAAGGCAGAGTTAAACAAGAGCATGAACATAGCAAGGCAGAACTAGGCAAGGCAAGGCAAGGCAAGGCAAGGCAGGGCAAGGCAAGGCAAGGCAAGGCAAGGCAAGGCAAGGCAAGGCAAGGCAAGGCAAGGCAAGGCAAGGCAAGGCAAGGCAGGGCAAGGCAAGGCAAGGCAAGGCAAGGCAAGGCAAGGCAAGGCAAGGCAAGGCAAGGCAAGGCAAGGCAAGGCAAGGCAAGGCAGAGAAGGGCAGGACATTTAAAAAAAAACGTCCCTCTTTTTCTACGTTTCTCCTCATTTCCCTTCAATTCTTTTTGTAAATATTCTGCCATAGCGTCTTTTAAGTCTAATTTATCAATCTACTCTCGTTTTATTGCCAGCACATCCTCAATATCTTCCCCCAAGAGCCCTCGGCCATAAACTAGTCCCCAGATCAGTCCCTCTCTCCCCAGATCCCCAATCCTCTAAACTTATCGCTAGCGGGATCAGTGTTCCTCCAGAAAGCAGAGGGAAAAGGTGGGATTGGAACGCCGAAAGTGAGGGGCTGATTCTTGTGGATTCGCTTTGCATCCCCCCCCTTTCTTCATCTGCACACAGATTAGGGGCAATTGAAGCTAGCGGGCTGATGGAGGGAGAATGTGTTACAAAAATGGCATCATTTAATGGCTCGTCGGAATGGTTTTGGAAGCTCGGCGTAGCGTAACAGACAAACGCAATGTATGTGCTGGATACAGGGAAAAGAGCTACATGTATCAGCTCTTTACTGTTGATCATGATGTTATAAGCATTGTTTTTATGACGAAAAGATAATTATAGACGTTAAGCTACAAAGTTATATTATAATATGTCGTTCAAATAATTGTGAACCCCTTAACGCCAAAAGTTTGCTTTGAAGAAAGGCACAGAACTATTAGAGCTGGTACTATTTAGTACTAAATTGTATAACTAAACTAAATATTTTTAAAAAATATTAGCATTCACTATAAAAAAAGGTCAAAGTTGCAACGTGTTTTACAAAATCAACAATATATTTACTGTCATTTTCATATAAAAATAATCGACTCAAAATACTCGATCCAACTTTGCATAAAACAGCAACAAAGCAAAAGACTGGCGATCCGGTTTCGCTGTGAATATCCTCGTTAATGAGTAACTTTGGATACGATAGAGAAAACAGTAATTTTTTCATTACGTTTTTATACAATTTCTTTATACTTTTACAATTACGATCCACTTTATACTCTTTTATTACGTTATACTTTTTTTATGCAATATATCTTCCGTTACAGTCTTATTGAAACAGTTTTTGCTTGTGCAATCATAATTATTTTTAAAGCGAAATGTAAATAAGACTTCTACTGATAGTACGCTCAAGTGTAATAGAAATCAGAGTTTCCAAGGCCTCCGGAGCCAGCGTTGAAGCCGGAGCCCAAAAATGTCAATTTTAGTACTAAATAAAAAGCATGTAAAAAAGCACCAGAGTCAGCACGACTCTGACTTCGGAGATGGAGCCGAAGCGAAATTTAAAATTTAAAACAAAGAAAAAGTAAAGCCGGAAATTTTAAATTTAACAATGCTGATAGGAATGTTACAGTATGTTCATTTAGTACCTTGTATGTTAGCAGAAACAGTTTTTACAGCTTGAAAGACTTTTAAAATATCATCAAAATTCTTTGAATTTTCAGTTTCAGAACGGTTGATAGAGTAGTCATTCCGCGAATTTTTACCGTCCAACTTTAAACCAACTTTTTACTTTACAACTTTCTCTCTCTCTCTCTCCACTCTCTCCTTCTTTACCTCTTTCTCTCTGTCTCTCTCTTTCTCAGTTCTTACTTTTCCATCTCTCATTACTTGCTTCTTACTATACCCTGCCTTTCCTGCCACAACTTCTTCTCTCCTTCCTTCTTTACTGCCTCATCTTCCCTCACCCTTTCTTATGAACCTTTTCTCTACCTATACCTATAGCTTTTGACCTTCCTTAACACCGTTCAGAAGAAAAAAGTGTGAACGGGTGTGGTCATTAAATATGACCTTCAGGGCATATTAATCACACCTCGGATGTTTCAATCGATTAGCAAAACGTTTTGTTACCCAAACGGTTTTGAACCGGCTCGTAAATAACAACAGGTTGGGTGCAAAGAAAAAGTAAAAATGAAAAAAAGTTCTTGGAACGATGATAGGATAGCTTGAATACCAAGATCATTTAAACAATTGAAAAGTGAAAAACATTTTAAAAAAGATACAGTATATTGCATAATGAACTATATATAACGTGAACTTCGTATAAATAACAACATTTAAACCCATAATAACGCTACACAGTGCTTTGAAAACTCCTGTATAACAAAACTGTACCATAATAAAAATTTTTTTTTATCTTTAAGCAATTTGTTATACAGAGTTCCAACAAAAAATTATTTTTGTGTTATTTAGCTATTATTTTCAACGGTTTTTTCCGCGTTTGCACTTTCCGGATAATAAACTTATTTTGATTGAAAAAAACGGGTTTTGTTGCTTTTCTAGCGCTATACCTTTAAAGTTTAAAATATCATTATTACCTTGCTTTGTGTATCTTTTGAAAAACAAAAATGATTTTTTTGGATTTTTAAAATTAGAAATGGCATAAAAAATGGAGATAATGTGATAGTTAATGACAAAAAGAAAAGTTTTATTCAAAAACTAACATAACATAAAGAAACGGCTGTATTTTGACTGTAAAGAGACCAAACCTTTTTTTTCTTCTTTTTTTTGTCTGGGCCCAGCCTATCTTAAATTTCCATCAACCCAGCTTGGTCCCTTATAACATCAAATACCTTTTACACTTTTCTCAAGCCTAACCTTTAATGGCAGAGCCTAAGCTGGGCTCCCAAGGTCGGCCCAAACTGAAGCCGAGTTTTGAGGCCTCCTTTTGATTTCTACTCCATATCAACATCACTAAATGTGTTAACTATAACAAGAGTTTGGATTACTTTCAAAGCCAAAAATGGGTTTAAAAATGATCACAATCACTGCCTAAAATTTACTCTAATTTTCCTTACCCTACCCTAATATAAACAAAACCAGTAGCCTTCAAAGTTAGCTCAACTTGTTCTCGTTTTTAATTAGTGCCGGCTTCATGTTGTTACTTTTATTAGTTTAATTTGCATCCAAAAACCCGTATAATGAGTAATATGAGAGACTAAAATACGACTCGTAGATCAGAAAAACGATATTACAAAACTTTTTAAAAAGTTTGAGACAAGTCGTGATATTATGAACATTTTGAAGTTAAATTTTAAATTTTAAAAATAAAAAAAAATTAAAATTTTTAAAAAATTAAGGCAGAATTTGAATTTTGATATGAATAGTGATGATGAAAAGTAAAAATTTAACAAAAGTATGATAGGTATAATCAATTGAAGCCTAAAACAATATGAAATGATAAGAATAGACTTCAAAAACAAAATTGTAAACCAACAAAAGACTCTACAACAATATACAATAAAGAATTAGAACCCATTAAGTCACAGAATTAAGTGAACGACCCAATAAAACAATACAAAACCTCCAACTTAAACCTTAAAAACAGCGATATCATTGTTAATCTTCTTCTCCGTGACCAATTCAGAATCCGACATCTCCCTTACTATGCTCGGTTGTTCACTCTCACTGTTCGTATCTTCACTCTTCTTCACGGGACAGTAAGAGTACATAAACACCGAGAATATTACCATAGCCGTGCCAGCACCAAACAACATTGATGGGTAGCGGTGAAAGATTACTGCCACAACAATAGCTGATACGATAATGGCTAATGATGAGGCTAGCGACTTTAGAATGTTGTCAGCGTATTTTATCACAACAGCAATGATTAGACCACCAACGGCTTGGAGGAGAACGGCTGACCAGATGTAGATGTTGAAGCCGGTGGCTAGGCCTTCGGATTTTACTAACTCGTAGTCGGAAATCTAAAAAAAAATTTTTTAAAAAATTTAAAAATTGTAAACTCTAAGTTATCCTAGTCCTAGCTAAAACCCTATCCCAGAGCCCTAATCCAGAGCTCTAGCCCAGAGCACTAGCTCAGAGTCCTAGCCCAGAGCAATAGTCCAAAGCCCTAGCCCAGAGCTTTATTATGTGCCCCACCTTCATCTATCCCTTATAGCAAAACCCCCTGCCTTTACCACACCCAAAAAAACTTACAAACATAGTAGCAATAGCAGCAGGTATAGCCAAAGCTGACAGTTGTAGATTCCTCATCCACAACGAGACATTTGTCTTTTTCAAAACTTTTTCAAAATAAACACCAGCAAAGCCAGACAAAACACAAGCCACCAAGACAGCACTCATTCCAATCGCAACATGAGTAAAGTGATCGACTTCCGTATGTTGAGTTAGGTTCTTCAAGTCGGTCGAGTTCAAACCTTCAGTATTGTTCAAACCATTGGCAGTATGGTTGAAATTGAGTTGTGAATCTATTTTGGCTGGTGTAGATTTTTCTTTCTGAAAATAATTTTTTTTAATTTTGGCACTTTATCCTATTTTCCAATAACTTTGTGACACTTCGTCCAAATTTTCAATAAATTCTTGAAACTTTGCCAAATGTTGAAAAAATGTAAAAAAATAGCTTTAGTAATAAAAAATATGGTATGCTACGATGATCAACGTATAATATTATACCTAAATAACTTACTGCAACAGTAACGACGGCCACACCAGCACATAAGATGAACAGAGAAAGCCATTGTGCAGCTGATAAACATTTCCGTAATAAAATCACAGAAAATATAGCTGTAGTGAGGGTTTTTGTTTGGTATGTTACCTAAAATAAGAAGTTCGATAAAACTTGATATTCATTCATACACACGACCAATTAAAAGGCCTAGCCTAAAGGGACAATAAGCCAGTTTAAGCTAGAAAAAATAGTAAAAAGCTCTAGTAAAGCTTAGAGTAGAAGTAAGAAAACAAGTTTCTAATGTTATCCTTACCAAGTACGTCGTGCTGTCGATATGCTCAATAGCCAAGTATAACAAGTAGTTTTGTATGGTGTAGATAATGGCAGGTATACCTACTTTTATTGTGTCCACAAAGTCATAGACAAAGTGGTACCTTAGACCACGGAAAAACCTAAAAAAATTATCATAAGAATCATCATAATACCTGAAAGGTCTGGTATAAAAATCATGTTATAGAGTACCCTACTCTACTTTTCCTTACTCTACCTCACTCTTTCTTACCCTACTCTTCCCTACCTGTGCTAGCTAATCTTACCTTACCCTGCCCTAACTTACCTTACACCAAGCTACCTAGTCAATTAACGTGGTATATGACGATGTTAATGTTAAGTCAAGTAAAAATAACTTACTTCAAAGTAGATTTACAAGACATAAAGTACAGCACAGTAGTAATAGCCAATTTGATAAGTTCAGTAAACAGAACGACTGATGATCGAGCGTACTTCTTGTGATTAGGTATTTCATTAGCGTATTTCATGACCAACACATACGATGAGAATTGGACCACTAGTATGGTTAGGCTGGCGTATCTTATCATCAATGCTAAAAGATTTATAGATAAATATCAAAGTTACTATAATATAAGCTTATATAGCCAATTTAAAACATAAAATTAAAATTTTAAAAAATGTAAAAAAAATTTTATGTGTGGGTACTTACCCATCTTTTCCTTTTTACTCTCATGTGTGTCATCAAGTTTGTCCAACTTCTTCACATCGCTATGTACAACTGCTGGGTCACGTATCTTTGTCATTCTGAAAGAATCTTATCAGTACAATACCTTTAAACTTTCAATACACATCAGATGCTCGACGCTCTAGATTATAACATGTTACAGTTGTATATATAGTATTATAGTTTGACTAAACCTTCTAAAGATGAACTGACAAAAATAAGTACTTAAGTTTTCCATAATCAGTTCCTGGATTTAAAATGACGTTTGGGAGTGATTGAGTTTTCATTATGTTAATACCAAAACATTGTATTCTTGTTCCGAAACAAACACATACATAATAAAAGTTATATTACCTTAGGTTCGAAAAGGCAAAGATCTCCTTTAAAAATTTTTTAAAAAAATATTGAACCTAGTCCCACTTTTAACTACAGTAGGACTAGACCTGTAGTAAGACCGGTCTGGCCCACTGTCATTGGTTTAGGTACCAGCGAACATTGCCGGCCCGACTCACAAGGCTACATGCGACGGCTCAAACCCTTTCAAATTTTCCTTAACCCAGCTTAGTGGGCCCCCTTTTTTAAGTTTATCCTAGACTAAATTAACCACCTTCTACCTATAATAACACTACCTGTGGTAAAAACGGCTCCCAGCTCTATACGTTGCATATAACAAGACCCTATATACATACACTTAATATCATCATCATACTGCATTACAATATTATGATGATAACAAAAAAACCAAAAGCGTTTAATAAGTTCTGTCACGTAAAAAACAGTTGATGGTTGTGACAACGTCCCGACGGCAAATATGAGCGTTGTAAAGAACGGTGGTACGTACAATGACCTTAATAAGTTTTGTCATTTCGAGAAATATTACAGTTTGGATTTTTAAAGATTGGTAGTAAGTAATAGGTAACTTTAATTTTTGTAAAAAATGATTAACGTAACGAAGGTATTGTAAAGTAAATTACTAAGATACGCTAAAGCCATTTCCATAACTTTACATGACATAAAATATACAGTTATGGCAATTTATGACCTTACTATCTCCAAAAAATAGCTATAAACTGCAACAATCAGATGATTTCAACTTGATAGAAAGACGTATTTACAGAGTAAGATGGTTATTATTAGCTGTATATTTCATCACCATATCTAGCTTCATTGACTTAACTGACTTTGTTTTGCAATAAGTAAACAAATGGTAAACATGATCACGTATAATAGCTGTTTTTTACAAAATTATGTGTAATAGCTACATTTGTCACGAACTACAGTTGACTATTGGTATGAACTTTAGAATAACATAGCTAAGGACAAGTGGTGGCAAAGGTCAAAAGATAAAAAAAAATTTTAAACTTATTTTTTCATTACTATAGGAATTACGAACTTGATCTTTAATAAAAGAGCTAGGCTAATCCAAGTTTTAAAAAATAGAGCCTAGCCACGCCAAAGAAAATTTGAAAGAGGCCAGGCAGAAAAATTGTTCCGACTTCTTTACAGGCCTACTATAACTAAAAGATCACAGTCTAAAAACCAAAAAAAAGTTTAACCCACAATCTAAACTTACAAATCAGAGTAAGTAAGCCTAAAAACCAAACGTATTTTACAGCATCAAGAACTTCAAAAAACGTTTAAATGTCTGTGTTAATATACAACCCAAGCCCAAAGTTCAATAATCACAACATCATCTGTAAGCCTAAGCGAAGTCAAAATGAAGGCTCGCACCATCAATCAAAACAATCATCTTTTAAGATTACTCCCAAAAATTATTGTAAACCAAAGGTTTGTTACAAAGTAGACTATAATGCATTTTACAGTAGAACTACTCTATACCAAACTCCTCTATAACAAAACTCTTGTATAACGATAAATTTAAAAGCACCAAGCGATTCGTTATACAAAAGTTATATTGTGCGTAGATATTAGTGAAGAATTGGACTAAAAGCCTCATGTGGAATATACTATGTATATCATAAATGGTAATAGAAGATCACATCAAATACCATTTTATACGGTTTTTGAGCATTTTTAAAGCACGATTTCAAAATTCATAAACAGAGCTCCAACTTTTGATGTTTTGTTTATCAACGATCAAAGTTTAAAATTCACGAAAAATTTTGAATGACGTGATAAGTAAAGTCATTATCACTTTTTGGCTACAGTAATTTAATACCAAAATTCATTTTAAAAAATCTTTTAATCTAAACCTCCCTCCCCTGACTTTTTCACTGTTTTGGCAATATAAAAGGTACTCCCTCTCCTCTATACCCTTACCCCAAAAAAGCTCCCTCCCAACCTTATACTTCTGAAAAATCACCCCCATTTCAGTGCTTATGTTTAGCAAAATAAGCTCACAAAACATAACTTACTACCGTTTAATCAGGAAGCTCGTCATATCAACCTTTCTTCGTTAATAAGACGTTACTTTTACAATGTCAGCTTTGTTACAACCAATAACTCCCCGAGCTTACTGACAAACGTCTGATGATCGTATGTTAAGCAAAGAAGACTACAGAGTTTCGAAATTACTGTGGTAGAGAACTTGGACTTTTAAGAAATAAGTTTTTGAGATTCAAAGTTAACCTTAATTTTTTTAGTTTTAAACTTATTTTAAAGGTTTTATAGGCTTAAAACCTCTATTATAAAAGTAAAATCGTAGCATTGTTATATTCAGCATAGCCTGCCCTATAGCATAAAATATTTTATAAAGAAAACACCTCTTGTACCATAAAATGCCCCTATTTTAATGTTGGCTATACCTAGAAGCGCTATAAAATCAAAAATCATCACACAATACAAAACTTCAAATTAAATAAAAATTAAATTTTGTCAACTAAACTTGACAAAAGCCCAATTTATAAACAATTCCAAAAGCACATAGTATATATATAAGTTATTTATTATCAGATGAAGTGACCAATCTGATCACAAGAAGGACATCTCATAACAACACAAGTTCATTTGTGAAAATAATCAACAGTTTTAAAGTGAAAAACACAAAAACAGCTATTTATGCGACATTTTATAAATTTTCTTCTGGTTTTACAAAGCAAACTGCCGTCTTAAAGCCTGGTTTCTACCCTCACTATATCTATTTAAAAAACTTTCAATTTCACCCCCGCCAATCATAAAAACACAAATTTGCCAGACTCGCCCGTGCCAATCATAAAAATTTGCCAAACTTTAAAAACAGCCCAAAATCCCAGTAAAATTTTCAATTCAAGACCTCACCTAATGCCCTTTAAAAATATTTTTAAAAACCACCACCCCCTTAACCATGCCAACTTTATATATCTACGTCAAGTTAAGAAATACCACCCTCTTGCCCTAGTAATTTCTATACCTACGTCAATTTGGGGGAAAACATCCGTTTGTCGAAGACGAGTCGGCAACACAATATTATTTTAGTTGATGACCTATCAAAGCTGTTGATTAGATTCTGTTACATCACCATACTACACAGCTGGTAAACAGCGCTTATGTTTTGGACATTGTGGTTGTTTCGACTGTTTTATGTCACAAAATTTGGTCATTTGATTCTTAGGTTTTCGTTAAAACAAGTCCAATATCTCATATTCATCTGATCACAATACCAGTTTATACACCCAATATCACTTAAGATATGTTAAAAATATCTACAAAATCACTTCAATCCAAAAGATATACATCTTCCAAGTCCTTAAAAGCCTTTTCAACAGTAAGATCAAGCTGAATTTCCTTCAAATCATCTGATTCGTTAGCTGTGTATACCTTCAACTTGCCAGATTGAACCGATTTGTCCTTCATTTTCCCCACAAACACACTTCTACACCTATTCACAGTCCAATTTTTAGGCAACATTACTGGAAACCGATCTTTTTTGTAATTAGCAAACACAAACAATGAAGCTACATCTGATTTGGACTGGGCTTTCAACCTCATTATTGCTATCTTGTCTGCTCTTTTTTGTTGTTCTGGGTTTGTGTACTAAAATATTTAAGCTTGGAATGTAAAAAATTAACACTTTAGGTTAAATTTAACCTTTTACATTTAAAAAAATCATTAAAATAGATTTAATAAAGTTTTTTTCTGAATTATATTGTCTTACGTTCTTTGGAGCTTTGATAACAATGTCTGAGCTAGTTTCAACTCTAATTCGACTTTTCTGATTCTGCTGAGCTTCTAAAACTGGCACACAGTCATGGTCTTCGCATTGACGATGTCTACAACAACAATTTTATAAAAAAAACCATTCAAAGCTAATAAAACGAACATTAACTCCATCTAAAGCAAGCTTGATGTCGATAAAAAAGTTCTCAACCCGTAAACATCACAAAAACTCGTCTAAAAACCAAAACAAAGAAAATTCAAATCACTTACTCCATGCAGAACTGTTTTTCACATTGAGAACATTCGATTTTGGACAATTCTGATCTTACACATCCGCTCTTTGAACAAATAAATTTCAAAAACTCTCCATTGGCGTTCTTCGCCACTTCCAGCACTTGATCTGAATCTACCGCACATCCATGATTCAATCTGTGTGTCGTACTAAAAAAAGAACCATGAGAAACTGATGTTAAGCTTACCAAAATATACCTTTACATTTGAAACAAGTAAAAGGTGTATAGTCTAGCTTTTTACATTGTTCCAGCTCACAATGTGCTCCTAAATTCACAAATTCAGCCATTTACAAGTAACTCTGAAATATCTTACAGCTGTATACAGTAAAATTCAAATATCAGCCGTAGAAATGTAAAATTATATTTTGTGAGCAATTTTGGGCGCGAACCGCAGTTCTTCTTCATATTGCAAACTGCGAACTTCGGACGCGAGTTGAATAATTAAAATAAATGTAAAATTAATAGAAAAGGACGATTAAAGGTCTTATGGCGTGTCGATAGTGCAATTGAAGTGTTTCCAACATGGTTTTAGGTGATTTCCGTAGATTTGATGTATATTCAAAGCCTTTGGAAGACTTTAGGGTCAAAACATCGTTTGGAGGCTTGGGTGAGTTGGAGGTTTTGTTAATTGCTTTTCGATTATAGGCTGTTAAAATTGCAAGCAATGAATTAAAGATGTAAAAATGAATGAATAATGTTATAAAAGAAGCCATGTTTAAAAATTGATGTTTAACTTTAGTTATTTCGATTTCATCACACTATATCGGATTATAACATTGATAACAAAATTTGCCTATTTTTAACCCAAAGGCTTTACGTTCTGCTTTGAGTTATATATCAATCGAAAGTAGATTAAAAATACTTTCTAACGATTTGCTGAACAGAGTTTTGAATTATGATTAAACTTCAAAATATTAATATTTAGGTAACACATTTTATTTTTAGTGTCACTAGTTAGTTTCGCTGTGATATTCCTGTTGTTCCTCAGCGAAACGTTGTCGTACTTTGCAGTAAAAATAGCAGAAGAGCTTTATGTTGATTCTACAAGTGCAGATCTTCGAGTAGATATCCATTTTGATATTACTTTTCCCAAACTACCATGTGCCTTCCTGACGATAGATGTTATGGATGTTGGTGGAGCGAACCAGCATGATGTTAAAGACGACATTTTTAAACTACGGATAGATAAGGACGGGTATAACATTACTGGTGCTGCTCCTATCAAACAGGGTAAGGAATTCTTTGTTTTTGTAGGCTTATTCAATATTATACTTGAGTTTTAATGGTTTTAGCTATTTTTGGGTATATTTTAGTGAATTTTCAAAGTATACAGAAACTTTTTAAAAATATATGTACTAAATTATTTATTTTAGGTATAAATGTTAATGGGACAAAAGAAACAGGTGTGGCAACAAAGGAACCCTTATGTGGAAGTTGTTATGGCGCGGCTGATGGGTATGTTAATTTTTTCTTTTTATTTTGAAGTTTTAGGTGCTGTAACACATGTGAAGATGTCAAACAAGCCTATGAAGTTAGGGGATGGACTATCGAAGATATCACGACGATAGAGCAATGTAAAAACGATGAATTTGTTCAAGAAATGAGGAAACACAAAGATGAAGGGTGTAGGATATATGGGCATGTGGATGTGGCTAAGGTATGATTTTTGTTACTTTTTTATGTGTTTAGAGACATATGTGGACTGTTTGGTTTATTTTTGTTGTTTTAGGTTGAAGGAAACTTTCATATCGCTCCAGGCGCTTCTGTTTCAGCTCATCGGACTCATTGTAAGCCTATTTTTCTTACTTTTACCTTGGTTTTTAGATAAATTAAAACAAATAGCTAAAAACAACGTTTTTCAGTCCATGATCTTCACTCAATGTCAGCCGGCTCCTTTGACACAACCCACAAGATCAACAATTTGTCATTTGGCAAGCCATATCCAGGCAAACATTACCCACTGAACGGCCTGACATTTCAAAGTCATAAAGGTGGAATAATGCACCAGTACTTTGTCAAAGTGGTACCAACAATGTTTGTATATGGAGTGACAAATCCAGGCATCGAAGAGTACAGTTATCAGTTCAGTGTAACAAGAAATGTCAAGGATATCACAGCTGGACAGTCTGGTCTGCCTGGATTGTTTGTTCAATATTCTTTTTCGCCTTTAATGGTCAAGTATGAGGAGAGGAAACAGTAGGTTTATCTTAATTTTTGGGGTGCGCATGGGGTTTTTTAAGGAATGGGGGTGGATTTTTGAAAAACTTAAAATTTGTTTTTAAAATTTGAAATTCGGCTAAAACAGCCATTACCCACAAACTAATACCCAAAACCTGATCCCTTCAGAGCCCTGTCCCAATTCTTGGTATCTTTATGTGCAATTATCGGCGGTGTGTATACGGTGGCGTCTCTGGTCGATTCGCTTATTTATTCATCAACTCGGGTGCTCAGGAAAATGACCTAAACCTACTATAATATAAATGCATAATCTGTGATGTAGAATACGCTAATTTATACAAAAAAAAAGAAATAAATATTTAATTTATTAGGTCTTATGTGATGGTTAAGATGTGTAAATGATCTTTTTTTTAAATAGTAAGGAGCGAAAAATGAAAATTTCTTAAAATTTTTTAAAATTTTGATTAAAAAATTAAAATTTAGGTAATAATGAATATAATTTTAATAATCCCAAGTTTCTTTCAAATGTTTATTGTCCAACTTTTATGTTTTACAATTGTGTTATGTGCTTTCTTTATTTCTCTGCTGTCTCTCTTCTCTTTCCGTTCTATTTCGGTTGGATTTTCATTTTAAAAAAATAAAATTGGAAATTCACGAAAAACGCGAAAAATAAACAAAATAGCCGACAACTACAACAACATGGTTAAGAGGTATAACCGTGGTGAGTTAAGGTATCTTCACCATGGCGTGGTATGTTGTTGTAGTTATCGACCGGTCGAAAAACGAGGATTTGTACGTAGTAAGGTGAAAATGAGACGAGGAGGTGAGATGTTCTCATGAATAATAGCCAGATTACTCGAGAGAGTGGGCTACACCGGGCGTTACCGTACACCCATTATACGGTAGTTACTATAATTCGTTCAGCTACGGTAGGACATGGATTACTGTAATGTTTTAAATACTGTATTGTAGTAGTATTACTGTGTAAAGTGTTTTATAGTGTGATAGTCATACAACTGTTTAGCTACAGTATGACTCCTAAACTACAGTAAGACCTTTTGTTACAGTAGGCAATCAAATTACAGTATCATCCCGATACAGTATGACAAGCATAACCGTTTTGTGACATTTTAGACCGGGTTTCAGCTGTTTCAGCTTTCAAAACCCGTAAAAATGGCATTTTTGGCGTATAGCGAAAGTTACAGTAACCGACGAATCATCACGGTAAAATAATTTATGTAAGCGCTAGACATAGGCACTATTTACAATCTTTTTTTTTTGATTTTATGGTTTTGGGTAGACTATGTACACTTCCGATGGTACCGTAACATTTTAAGGCTATAGGTTTACTGTACTTTGAAAAAAACTACAGTAACTATAACTCGAAAAATTTTGAAGATACAGTAACCCAGCGTAAAAAATTGGTTAATTTTCTGGTTTTTAAACCTACTAACTCATACTGTAACCAAACTTTTAAAAATTTACAGTAATCAAACTTTCGAAAAATTACAGTAACCTAATAACCTTATTACAGTACACTCGGATGACTCTAGAAGTTTTTGGTGGAAAAAGACTATTCTAAACGTCGACAGAGTTAAAGAAAGGAGCATTCTACAGTAAGAAAGCAATCTACAGTAAAAATAATACAGTAATAACAATCTTCGTTTGTCCACTTCGAGATTTAAAAAAAAAGTTTTGAAAATGGTTTGAGACCCGGGAATCGTTCATCATGTTTGAATAGAGTGTTATGAGGGGTACGGTAGAGGTTACAGTAACCGAAATTACCGTATTTTAGAATTCTACCGTGCCAAAGAAACTACAGTAATACTAGAGTTAGATTTGTACCAAAAAAGAGTTTTACAGTACTGTCGTGCTTTAAGTTGTTACAGTATGAAGTGAGGAAGTCATAGGGTATCAAGCTACAGTAAGACGGTACCTTAAAAAGTTACAGTAAGACTAACCGAACTAAAGTTATGACAAAGTGACAGTACTTTTGAGCACCTTTAAAGCACTACTTGTACTATGAGACAGTATTGTGGTACTAAAAGTACTATAGTGATGGTACAGTACTACTTTCAAAGACATAGTAATACCAGAACATGTAATGGTACAGTACTTTCTGTTGTTAATAAGTTACAGTACTCCTTGTTAAGATACGGAATTGCCAGGCATTGTTGAACTACAGTTCTAACCGACGACTCAGAGCTACAGTACTACTCAACTATGTGTTTGTTACAGTACTCTAGGGTCCTATTCAACTCGCATCATACTGATACAGTACGAGATGTAATCGAGTTTAGGGTACCACGTACAAGCCCATGGCGTCTGGTACCGTTTCGGCTTCGAGGTCTGGTACCATTTGTTCTGGTACTGCACGGAGCTGCATTTGGTCCTGAAAATGGTACTCGTCAGTCATGGTGCTTTAGGTTATAGTACTATGAGTACCAGTAGCATGTTTAGTTTAGTAATGGTAGGACCATCTTTTCATTGATTCTACCACTAGTACTATTTTTAAGTACCAACTTGCCTCAACTCTGCCAACTTCACTTACAGCGTGCTTCTTGAACAGATTTTGAACCTGGCTTCTGAATCCAACACGACTACGGTAAGCCGAATCCCGTGAACTGGTACCCATCCGCATTACGTCGACAGTACCACTTGGCAGTTGGGACTCGAAAGCCGACAACCTTAACTGAAGTCCGTAGCTCACGAAGTTGCCCTCACCGTTCTCGCGAACCCACTGTGACGAAAGAATGTCTCCAGTGGCGGGACGATCCGATGGAACCGACTTCAACAGCGAGTACAACAACAGTTTACAGGTCCAAGATACGATGTCAGTACTGGCGAAGATGACCTTGGCCTGCTTGATCAGTCGGAACAGATCACGAGGACACTTGGCCATGAAGGGGGCACGACCAGTAACCAGGGTGTAGAGTAGTACTCCCAACGACCATACATTGGCAGCGCCGGCGTGGTACGTGTGGTGCTTGCTGTTGGGGGCAGGTAGCATCTCGGGGGCGGTGTAGGCAGGACAGCCTTTGCGAAGCTGAACCTCGTCCGAACTGAGGTCGGGCAGGATCTGTAGGTCATTGATGCTGAACATGAATCGAATGCTGCATCTGAAAATGGCAGAAATGGTTAGATTTGTGGTTTTTGTGAAGAAAAATGGTAAAAAATTGTGTTTTAGGTGGAATTTGAAAGAAAAAAAGGTGTTTTAAAGACCAATTTCTTTTGTAATGGTTTTTAGTACCTTTTAGGTATAACATATCATTACAGAATTCAACATAACCAAAACAATTCATAATATTGCAGGTACAATCAAGAAAAGTAACTAAAAGACTCAAAAAACTCGATTATAACATAAAAATGAAGTCAGTTTCCACTGTTTTCCACTGAAATTGACTTCATCTCTGTTTTTTTACAAATTTTTAATCAAAAAGTATTATATATTAAAGATAATACTAATAACAATACACTACAGCATCTAACACTACTAAAACAATGTTTTTTTGACCAAAATCAGGGCGTTTTCGACTAAAATCGGCCCTTCACAGACCCTCAACGAAGGCATGCCGAGTCCGTGACAACACGAGAACACGATGCTCCAGAAGCGGTTGAGGCTGTTCACCATCATATTAACGTGTTTCTGAACGAAATACATCAAAATATGTTTCATAGGTATAATATTTGGGTTTAGAGTATAAAAATGGGGGTCTAAAAAGTCTTGTCGTCGATTTGCATACGTTTTATATGAAAAATGCGACAAGACTTTTTGACTTGTGAATAATATGATCCACTCTGATATATTGCTGTAAATAACATATATAAGGCATGGTATTTACAGTAAAAGCATTCTTATAATATATAACATGTTCATATCACCTTACTGTAACATTCATATACCGTATGCTTTAGTACTACTACTAGTACTAACTGCTATTACATGAGTTAGTACTACTTTTATAAGGTTTCCAAACAATTCTGTGCCCCTTTCAAAGAAAGTTTTCATAATTATGGGGGCACAGAATTATTTAAACAGCCTAATAGTGCTAAAACCATCGCATAGAAGACCAGTCTCACCTTACTGTAACCCCTCTATCGTATTATCACCTTTCTGTAACCCCTTTATCGTATTAACAGCTTAACTGTAACACCCGGCATGTAAATTATGTTACACAACAAGGATATGAAATGTTAAGAAGATGATCTTACTATGTAAATACATTTCCACACAAAGTTAATCGCTTACACAACACCAAATCCTTTGTAATTCTATTTAATTTTAATTGTATTTCGAATGGTAATTTGCGCAATTTCGAGATCTATGAATTGGTATGTTTGTTTATGGTACTGTAACTTTGAGTTTTAGCTGTTTCTTATTGTAAAAAGTAAATGTAAAGTTATTTTTGGCCCTTTTTTGCTGTAAAAGTTCATTTTGATGATCAAGACTCGGTAGGACAAAGAAAAGTGCCATTTTTGGACCAAAACTTAAAATTTTTTAAATTTCTACTTTTTTTCAATTTCATACCTAAAAACATCTTTACCAATACCTTAAAGTCCATAAAACTTCATAAAAGTTGCGTCAGATGCCCTTTCTGCCAATTTTTATGTTACTTTCTTCGAGAAACCTCGTGCTTTTCGATCCAAAGTTAAAGCGAAATTGAAGGTCAGATCCCAAAACTGATATCAAGGACTGTAAACATGTTTGTTGCCCCCATCTAACACAATATACTCATACGACTCTCTCTTCTATCACGCTATATGCAAACGAATCGCTATTGATATTAGTGGAAATGCACTCAAATGCCCTCGAAATGAACGCAAATATAGGTTTTTAATGGTTTTTGGTATATGCATGGGTCGTGGATTTTGTGCCATAACTTTTTGGACTGCTGATGGAATCGGCTTAAATTTTAAGGAAAGGTAGAGTAAAGTCTTGGTTATAACATAGTAAAATTTCAGGCATTTACGTAATTCAGATATTTAGTTATTGGCCTTTGAACTGAAGGGGTATACCTACATGTTGCCCTTTCTTTTTGACTTAATTTTTCAAAAATATTTCAACCCAAAAATAAAATTTCAAAAAACATTGTTCTAGCTATGTCTCTGTAGCTCAAGAAAAACTAAAAATTCAAGTACATCACATTAAAAATGGCATCAAAATCACTAAAGTTCACTTACGAGTCTTTATCAGTGAAGACAATCTTCTTCAGCATGAAATCTCGGAAGTAGATGCCGATCTGGTGCGCTTTATGTACCATGTGTACCATTTGGGAGAAGATGGAACGAGACTGCTGCTCGCTCAACTTCTGCTCCGCCTTCTGCATGGTAAAGTAGGTTTGGAGGTTGCCGGCATGGTTCGCTGAGATGACATAGTGGAGACGGTTGGCACTGATGATTCTGGTGCCTTCGGGCATTAGCATTCGTCTGAAACAGGTTTATTGCTAAAATTTCATTGGAGTGTAACATAGGGCACCATATTAGTGGTTTGACGACCATTTTTAGGGCCAATGGCTTCAGTTTTCGGCCGAAGATCTAAAATATTGTAGTACACACCTGAGTTCTGCAGCATCGTGGAAGCTGAGCTTCTGATCAGCCATTTCTAGACGGTTCAAGATTACGGTAAAGGCTTTGTATTCTTCGTCGTTTAACACACGACAATGGTGGATGGTGTTGGTGGTGAGGTGGACGGCTTGGCATTCTTTGCCGTCACCGATCAACTCATATTCACCATCAGCAATGTAGGAGTCTTTGATGAAGGGGTTGGATCGCTGAAATTAGCAGGGTTAATTAGATGAAAATTAGGAACTACCGTACTCTACCGTACCTTATCTTCCCTTTTTTTAGTCACCCCTATCTTTTCAAAAATCCTTAATCGTACCATCCCCAAGCCTTACCTGACTGCCTTGACTGCATTCCAAATCGATGTCATAACAAGTTTCGGGTGATGGACTGACAGAAATCGATCGACTTTGTGACTCCTGTGAGCCCACCGATGATGATGAACTTAGGCGGATCCGTTTGTCATTGCTCTCCTCTGCGCCCTCGTCTTCGGAGCTGGCCGAGGCCAGACCGAGTGAGTTGATACTGTTCGTGGAGCCACTCTGACTCGAGCTCAACGAACTCGTGAAGTTGATTCGGCTCAACGCCGCGCCAACGAAGCGACGTTTGCGGTTGGCGGGCGCGGGTTGATCAACCGCGGTTTGAGAAGAGGTGGAGGGCGAGGGAGCGGAAGAGGAGGGGAGGGCATCGTCCACGACCACTTCCAACGACATTTCTGAAATTGCGGCTAAAATTAACATTTGGCTGGTCTGTGGGGTGGGTGAAGGTATTTGTGAATAGTATATATGGTAGGCTATGAATATGATTATATAGTATGCGGGTAATTTAAAATGGCTGATCTTGGGGAGTAACGAAGGCAATTGTAATGGTATATATGTGGTTTAAAACTTGAAAATAGGGCTCATCAAAGGCTAGATCAAAGTAAAACTAATATTAATTTGTTCAAATAATTTTTAGAAAATTAAAAATTGGGCCTCAAGAATAAGACTGTTCACATAACTCTGTGCCCCTAGACCCGCAGATTGCTTTGAGATGGGGCACAGAATTATGTAAACAATCTACTAGTAAAAAACCTTTAAATATTTGTACTACGGGGCCCTGTATTCAATGTTTTTTGGCATCGACTTACTGAGGTATTGTATCATACTAATACTGAATGGTACAAGTAAAAAAAGTAATGAAAAGCTAGTATAATATAGAAGAATATGCTTTAATGTTTTATAGGTAATAATATCGAAAAATTGGAGAAAATATAGTAAAATGAAAAGATAATACATTAAAAAATAACTATTCTAATCTATGAAACTTTAAAAAACACAAATTTAATCTTATATAAACCTGTATTTCAACCTCCCACTCGAAATATATGTAATAATATCATAATATATGTTAATATAGTTGAGCTTTAGCCCCTACCACCCCCTCCCTGTAACAGACTTTAATCTTACTGTCTTAACTACCCTTTCTCCTCTCATTTTAATTTTACCGCTTTAAGGACCCCTTTCCGTACCTCTTACCTTCCCCTGTCGTCTCACCTTCTAGCCTTGCCAACTTTCAACTGTAACCTTTCGCTACCGTCTTCTTTACCCTCTCCTCTCATCACTTCCATCTCCCCAACCCTCCTCCCCCTAAAACCCTCAAAATCTCCTTCCAAGCCCTAAACCTCCCTAATCAACTTAACTATAACACAACACAAACCTTTCATCACAACTTAATCGCCCAGACATTTAAATTTTAGCCTGGAAATTTTGACGAAATGCCCTCATTAATGCAAAGTCAAGTACTTTCCTCACCACACATATAATACTACGTTATTCATGTGGCGAAATACGCGAACGAAAGACGAAAAGCGTCGTCATACTGTATTTCGAAATATCGTAATTGTAAATTACTCATCGGATTGGGTTTCCAAGTGCGGCCGTAGGGCGGGGTGGAGGTTTGAATAAAATAGGGCGGGGTAAATGGGTGAATAAAAAGAGTGAGGTGATTTAGAAAACAAATTTTTGAAATGCTTCAGGTTTTTTCTCGTTTTTCAGATTTTGAAATAATTTTTTATGCGCTGCCCATGTCGTTATAGACGAATATTCGTAAACCTACATTATTTCGTAAGCCATTCACTTAAATTCCCCGAAAATCAATAGCTAGTTGACGAAATGTCACTAATACCAAAAAAAATCAATTGTAAGCTAGCTAAACGTAATGTTTACAAAAAATCAATATTAAGTTAACAAAATGTTTCCTTTTCAAAAAATCAATATAATGTTGACTAAAGGTCAAAAGTTAAAAAAAACTAAAAATTTTTAAAAACTTTATATTAAAAAATGTTTTTAAGTAAAAAATATTTTTTAACCGCTCCTCCGCTCAATACCACTTTTAGCCTTACATACCATGCTTTTGTTCGTCCATTAAATGTCATTCTCAACCTCATTTCTTTCTTTTTATAGGCCTTTTAACGGTTTTTGTGGCTAAAAATGTATTTACTTCTAGAAAAACGTGACAAAAATAACCTCTTTATTAAGTCTATGGTACGTTTCGCAAGTTTTTACATTACTTTTTACTACCAGTTCATCCCCAAATACAATTTTTTTCACCTAAACCCCCAACCCATTAAAAAATGTGTCAGAAAACACTGAAGTTTTAAAATCAAGGCTAAAAGTCATATTTTTCTAGCCAAAAACGGTTTTAACACTCACGATTATGCTCAAAATTCAATCCTTTTCACTCCACTTTCAAATCCATGCCTTACTAAAAAAGTCCAAAAGTTGCCATGCCCACTACTTTCAGAATCCTCAATTTTCACCGCCTTTTGTAAAAAACCCATGCCATGCTCAAAAGTTTGAAAAATTGAGTTTAAAAGTCATCTTTTTCTTTAACCCAGCCAAAAATGATTACACACCCGATTTCACCCCAAATTTACTATATCCCACCCCACTCTCAAACATATGCCAAACAAAACAATACAAGCCTTTCCATGCCCACTAACCTCAAAACCCTCACCGTTCACAGCCTTCTGTATTTTATTTATTTTCTGGAGAAAAAAACAAAAACAGGCCGATCCGAGTGGACTGCACGCTATTTCTCTCTTCCATCGCCCGGACCGATTGTTTACGAAATAGAAGAGAACGTGCATTCGGGTAGGGAGAGGCGCAAAGCACGAGAAAGGCCTCGAAACGAAAAAAGGATTGTGAAATCGCTGCTTCTTCTAATGGGGGGTGTGGAAATCGGGGGACGTTTTTGAAATACGGGGAACTCGTTTTTAAATATAGGGGTCGTTTTGTGAAGGAGGGAGGTTTACGAAAAAGTAGTTTTTGACGTTTTTTTTTAAAAATGAAAATAGGCTAGGGTAATCTTACAGTAGGGTAGGGTAATCTAACAGTAGGGTAGGGTAAACTGACAGCGGTGTAGGATAGTTTGAAAAAAGGACGAAGGGTAGGTTATTAAAGGCTAGGCAAGAGTAAATTAAAAAGTAAGACCTGGCTAGGGTGATTTTTTAAAAAATAGGCTTAGTCTTGCCATTTAAAAAAGGTATGTTTTACTTAAAAAACAGTAAGGGCAGGGGTAGTGCATTCAAGAAAAAGAATAAGGGGTACGGTAGGGTATGGCAAAAAAAGCAAAAAAATTGTTTTTTAAAAAAATGAGCAGTAAAAAACTAAAAAAAAATAAAAAGTTGTTTTTGAGTAAAAATAGAAAAAAGGGGGCATTAACCCCCTTTGGCGAAAAAAAACAGATTATTCCATGTGCACTATAAACAGATGGATTTTGAAATTGGAAAGCATTGAGTTGCACGTACTCTGATACCGTTTTTCGAGTTCAGGAGGTACAATGAAGTATGAAATGGCAAGCATTCTATAAGATAAGCTCCAAAAATACTAGCCATGTTGTGAACGGGGGAGTTATCTTAGCTTATGAGCAGGGTAGGATATAGGGGAAGTTAAGCAGAAAGGGGTAGCCTAAGCTCTTTGTTCTGAGCTTAGAGGCATGTCTAAATAAGTAGAAAGGAGAGTAAAATCTTTCATTCCTAGTTAAGTAGGAAGGGAAGGGTAAAAAACTAAGGTTGAAGGGGGTTAAGGGGGTGCGAGTAAGCAAATTTTGAAAAAATTGAAGTTTCAAGGCTTGGGAGCAATTTTTAGGCTAGCGAGCAATTTAAACCCCAAGAAAAAACAAAATTTCAGTTACTGTTACTAAAACTATTCCGGTTTCGATCACTATCACTAAAAATAAAAAAGGAACTTTGCTGCGTAAGTTCAGACGACACGTGATGGTAACGTGTAATAAAGTCTTTAGTCTATTTTAGTTCTAGAAACAGTCATTTCTATAAATAATTTTGTCAGAAAACCTAATCACAGTTCACTACTGATCAATTTACTATCATATTATAGTAAATAAAGCAGTTATTTGGAGTAAAAAAAAGTTTTGTCTTTTTTTCTTTCAAATAAGTCTGTGCTCCGTAACTTTGAAAAACTTTTTTAACAGGAAGCACAGAATTATTTGAACGACTTAAAATAAATAAAACTGATATTTTATGAAAAAAAAGTTTTGTCGCTTTTTTCTATTACAGCTAATGTAAAATGACGACAAGACTTTTTTAACTTTTCAATCTTTCTACAATTAGCCTCTAATACTTCTATAAACTTATACTACCTATATCTTTAATATAAAGCAATAATAACACTGTAAGCGTCCTTATACAATCAAAGTTATTACCCTATATTCGTTACTATATAAATAGCTCCTTAGTTACCACACAGTTATTTTTTAAACTATTATAAAATGACAGAAAGCTATACTATAACATACCGTAACTTATGATCAAAAATTACTGCATAATGTTTACCTGCATCAAAAATGGTCATCAACGATGACTAAGCCTCAAAAATAGTTGTCAACATTATTTTTGGAGCAACAAAGTTGTCATCAATGACCTTTTAAAGCTTTTGAATGACTTTCCTGAACCTTTTCTGAGCTGATATGCTGTTCCATAGTGCGTATGTTATACTAAAGCTTTATATCAAAAAGAAAAAATAGTGTTTTAGCTATTTATAAAGCTTTTAAAAACGGTTTGTCGTTGATTCACGTTGATTTGCAGTATAAAAAACGACAAAACTTTTATAACTTCTTATCAATGCTACAATGCTTAAAAATCTTATAATTGATTTTACTACATTATATACCTAGTATAATATAATGATAAAGTTAGCTTTAAACACTAAAAAATATGCTGGCTTCCACTACAACATGTTACACCCATACTGAACCTAATTTTGTACCCAAAACGCCGAAAAATACTAAACCAAGACCTTTTAACTCACGCTATCTCCAAAAATATCAGTTTCACTATACAGTAATGAGAAGTAGTAAATAAGGAAGTTATTCTAGGCTTATGAAACGTTTGTTTACCTTTTAATAATAAGTGCATGTGTAAATTTTGAAATTTTGAACGAAATTTTGCAAAAATTATCAGTTTTTAGTACTATGACTTCATAACGCTTTGATTTATAGTACTATAGGCATTCATTCTATCAGGTTGCTTAGAGAAATTAAAAAAAAAGTTGTTCAAATAATTCTGAGCCTTTAAACTGGAAACATGCTTTAAAAAAGGCTCAAAACTAATTAAACAACTAATATTGTTGTTCAAAAAATATTGAGCTACCCAACCCTACAATTTTTTTATAAAAAAGAGCGCAGAATTTATTGAACACCCTAAGATTTTTGT